TGCATTTCCTACTAGTTCCTAATGCAGAAAAAATTACATTGTGTTATGTTAAAAGAGGATATTTTGTTGTATTGTAAGATATTACATCATAACTAGCAAGAAATGTAACATTAGGCAGAGGCATAAGCAACTACCATATCTAAGAAGAGGTAAAATAGATAATGTGAGCTGTCATATATTACCATAAATGAATTAACAGATAGATTTTTATAATTTTATGGCTTAATCTTGTTGTCATTGTAAAAGGCAGATCCAAATGATGGTATTTTCTAACTGTAACTACTTATGTATGTGTCTGTTATGACAATATTGAAAGAAGACCGAGTTCGTAACTGTTGAAATAAATCTATTACAAAACCTATGGAGTTATTTATCAAGGAGAAGCCTTAGAATACATAGGCAAGACTATGAAGTATGAAATGTTAACATCAGTGCACCCGAAAGAACATATGTGATGAGTTTGACAAGATGAAGGTAACAGAGGATTGAGCAGATCATTAGAACATAAAGCTACCCTAACCCTTACATAAACTGCTATTGTTAGTCTCCTTCATAGTTACGGGCAAAACCAAGTATTTTTGATGACAAGCTAAAATTGGACAGCAAGAGGGCAATTCAGGGGAACCCATACATGTGTAGTAAGGTGTCGGGCTTAGTAATATACAAGCGTAGAAGTGTATTTGATAGAATCATACAACTGATTTCAAATCCGGAAGACAAACTGAAACCCGAATATGTCCGGGACATATTCTAACCAATGGACCATGGACTAGGATAATGCATATAATCAATGACTTCTCTCTTGCATCGCTTATCAATAGAAGAAACACATTTCCTTGATTGTGCTTCAGCGCTCTTAAACATATCATTCAGTTTGAGTTCAGTTCAATACAACTTAAAAGGGGCATCTATTGGACAAAGCTCCCACTAATTCAGGCTCCCTGAGGGTGAAAGTATGAAACTCTAGCTTTGCAAGTGGAGAACCTATTTCCATGTCAACACTTGACACCCAGGTCTCAGAGAAGCAACCTCGTTGTCATCGGATCATCCACTATTCAATGTATCTTTAAAAAAACAAGTTAAGAAAAAAGATCCTACAAAAAGGTCAATATTAGATAAAATCTCAGTAAGTTCAAAAGAAATTAGGATCCACAAGACTATAACTCTGAGATTTACTAAGAGCAGTAACTATTGAGAATCATGTCTGATGCTAAGAGAAATGAGAGCATCATTGGATGGTAGCGCAAAGCACATCTTGACCTAATCTTATCAATCAAAAGACAAAGCGCTCTCAAGGGCTATGTAATTTACCTCGAAGGGAGCATGGTTCAGCATAATTAATAATAAAGAGATGCAAAAGAGGAAGATCTCGCCTTCCCCTCCATTCCCCTTCCCCTCTCAAAGCCGAGAGGGAAGACACAGAGGAAATGTACTGATTGCCTAAAATTGGAAAAGAACAACCATAAGAACATCACGGGAACAAAGGAAAGCAAAGATGATTTTTTACTGTAATTAGTGGCCTCGACAACCTCTTGTGGATCTCCCTCATACGCAAAACGCGGGAAGCCCTCTGGTTTACCCTCCTCTACGTTCTCCATGTATAGCTCCCCTTACTTGTACCTTTAGCCTAATGTTACATTTTCTACTAGTTCCTAATGGAGAAAAAATTACATTATGTTATATTGAAAGAGGATATTTTGTTGTGTTGTGAGATATTACATCATAACTAGTAAGAAATGTAACATTAAGCCAGAGGCATAAGCAACTACCATATCTATGAATAAATAAAATAGACAATGTGAGCTACCATATATTACCATAAATGAATTAACAAATATATTTTTATAATTTTATGGCTTAATCTTATTGTCATGTAAAAGGCAGATCCAAATGTAACTACGTGTCTGTTATGACAATCTTGAAAGAAGATCGAGTTCGTAACCGTTGAAATAAATCTATTACGAAACCTATGGAGTTATTTATCAAGGAGAGGCCTTAGAATATATAGACAAGACTATGAAGTATGAAATGTTAACATCAATGCACCCGAACGAACATATGTGGTGAGTTTGACAAGATGAAGGTAACAGAGGATTGAGCAAATCATTAGAATATAAAGCTCCCCTAACCCTTACATAAGCTGCTATTGTTAGTCTCCTTCGTAGTTACAGGTAGAACCAAGTATTTTTGATGACAAGCCAAAATTGGACAGCAAGAGGGGCAATTCAGGGGAACCCATACATGTGTAGTAAGGTGCCAGGCTTAATAATATACAAGCGTAGAAGTGTATTTGATAGAATCATACAATTGATTTCAAATCCGAAAGACAAACTGAAACCCGAATATGTCCGGGACAGATTCTAACCAATAGACCATGGACTATGATAATGCACATAATCAATGACTTCTCTCTTGCATCGCTTGTCAATAGAAGAAACACATTTCCTTAATTGTCCATCAGCGCTCTTAAACATATCATTCAGTCTGAGTTCAGTTCAATACAACTTAAAAGGGGCATCTACTGGACAAACCTCCCACCAATTCAGGCTCCATGAGGGTGAAAGTATGAAACTCTAACTTTGCAAGTGGAGAACCTATTTCCATGTCAACACTTGACACCCAGGTCTCAGAGAAGCAACCTCGTTGTCATCCAAAGGATCATCCACTATTCAATGTATCTTAAAAAAAATAAGTATACAACTGACCCTCAGCACTATGATAAAAGCCCCTTAGAAATGATCTTTGACAAAACAGAATTCTACTAACTTAATCTTCAGAGGGGCCTAAGTCAGGAATCCCCTCCCCATCCCAACCTAGGCCAATGTGCAACGATGACAAAAGCTGACGAGCTCGATAAAGAGGCGCATCTTAAACGATCCCAAGCTCGACCCGATCAAGAGAGGACCTCATCCCCGGGACGACCCTAGACATCACCAATTGGATCAAGCCGTACATACTCCTCGACCATGGCATAAAGTATATAGGAACAGGAACGTTCAAAGCCACAAGGCTCCAAATTTCTAAATGTTAGATGTTTAATTGCCATTTACATTGTAATATTTAATTACTACCAGTCAAACTGACCTCTTCAACATCATCAGAAAGATTGCCCTATGCTACCTGCAATCCTTGATGGTGGTCAATGACAATAGAAGATGAGCTACTGTGTTCATCCACTGAAAGATCCATATAACAAATGCAGAGACGCAGACCGCATTTAAGTTTCCATGTAGCTCAGTCAACCATTAGCTACGAAAACGAAATCACAGTACCAAGTACAAAATAGAGCAACAGAACAACACAAGCCCAATGACACCAATCTGCATTCATCTACACTATACCACCAAAATGTGCCAAGTACACCCACATCAACCTCAACAAAACTTCTAAGCTGATCAACTACATAAAACATGAGAATTTGAGCCTAGAAAACCAGAAGAAGGTGGGCTGCAGATTATTCTAATCCATCTCTGCATCACAGCATTCTCAAAAACTATATACTAACCATACCATTAAGCATGATATGTATCATAAGCAGTTCAGTTACCTGTGACAAGGAAGAAGAAGAATAAAAAGGTGATCTTTTTCAGTTCCACCTTCCTATTAATAATACATTGCTACAAGGCTTTAAGGTGATCTTTTCAGAGGAAATTTGAGCCTGGATTGTAGACGGAGAGATCAGGCCATGCTCCAGTCCAGCATTCAGAATCAACTTGCAAGCTCAAGTTCTCAGTTGACAATGTCGCAGCTATGCTCTCAGAGCCACTGCTGCCAGTGAAGTTCTGTAATTCCCATTCATGGCCATCGACGCCTGAACTGCTCACAGTACTGGGATTCCGCACCCCAGCAGAGGCGCCACCCCCCGGAAGGAAGCTATTCAAGAGGCCTCCGAAGTGTCCACTCGATGCCAAAAGCGAGATGAAACTTCCACTGGTATCGAGCAATCGGTGGTCCGCGTCGAGGGGCGGGAGCATAACGGAGATGGGCTCAGGTTGTGCGTGTCCAGACGGGGAAAGGCCGGGTTTAGGGGGACTGGAGCTCTTGGAACTGGAAGCAGAAGAGGAGGAGGAGGAGGTTTTGGAGCGCTTGGAGCTCTTGCGGGTGCCACCGCCGATGGGAACGTTCCGAAGGGCGCCGCCTTTGGTCCAGTAGCGGCGGCAGCTCTTGCAGAAGTGGCGCGGCTGGGAGAGGTTGTAGTTGTTGTAGTAGCAGAACTTGGTGTTGGTGGAGTCGCACCTTGGGCATCGCAGCTTCTCCTCTGGTTCCGGAATCTGAGACTTCGCGGCCGCCGCTTGGAATGGGGCTGCGGCCGCCGAGTCCTGCATCATTGGAGGCGGAGACGGAGGACGAGATATAAAGTGGTATTCTGCAGTAAAGCTTGAACCTTTTAGATAGAATTTGAATCCGTGTTAGCTTCTTTTTCTGTGCTTCATTGATCATGACACGCTGTTCTATGGTATGGATTGTTGGCCCCAGATTGCTCCTGCAGCGCGTGGATTGAAATTGATCGGACGAAAAGACTTATGAAGGGTAGTTGAACCGTGTAGACGAAGTTCCTCGAAGAAATATGCTCCACTCCACGGGTTAGGTTGCTTTCGGGAGACTTCGCCGAATGAGAGGAGAGACGAAGACAAGCTGACGAAGGCATGAACAAGGAAACAAAGGTCAGTCACTAAAGATGTATGTCTTATTGTTTAACCAGCAGAAATAACAGGAAGAAGATGAATCGTGGTCACTCTTGAAGCAGAGAAACCTTAATATCAGCAACAGAGGGCAAGAGAGATCAAGAACAAAAGTCGGGGATAAAGAGAGTTAGAGGAGGTAGGTGGTGTCGGCTGTGCGTCGCGCGAACTGCCCTGGTACGGCGGCGCGTCGAGGTGATGCCCTGTGATGTTTGGAGGCACTGTAGCAGCGGCAGCAGCTCGTAGGCCGCCCATCCTACGGCCTACGCCTGTCGCTGGCAGCTGCGCGGCGTCCCGAGAAATTTCGGCTCGAGGACCGGTGATTTGATCACGGATAGCGCGTCCGACGGCCACGCCCGGCTCGAGTCACAGACCTTGATCCCCACAGGAGGGCCGCAGCCGCAACCCTCCCGCTCCGTGATCGGCGCCTCAGACCCCGTTCCTGAACTACGCCGCGAAACACGTAGAGAAGGCCAAGCGGCGACCCGCGACGCGTGGGCAGCACCATCGCACACCGTTCCCCGTTCGTGACTCGGGAAGTCAAGCGGCGACCCGCGACGCGTGGGCAGCACCATCGCACACCGTTCCCCGTTCGTGACTCGGGAAGTCAAGCGGCGACCCGCCACGCGTGGGCTGCGTACTAAAGATACGATGAACCGAACCGCTAAGCATTATCAGAGTGGGGCCTGTTCTGCGAATACTTGTCATGAGGCCACAATTAACATGTTCTGCGTCTAATCATACATCGCTGGAGGCGACGAGACGATCATTTCTACTACTTGATACCAGTCACGCCACAAACGATGTTCTCAACCCCATAAAGTTCTGTCTAGTGACTTATTAATCATGATCAAGGGCCACTTGATTCTCAAATCACTTCTTAGTCCAGGAGCATGTTAACATGGGGAAATAGGCACCTCATCCATATTACTCTTTCTCTGTTTTTACTTTAGCACATCTTGGTGAAGATTTATTTTATTTTCCTAACATATATTTAATCAACGATGGACAAATATTAGTGTCACCTCTGAAATCATTCCTAGTGTTGCTACAATCACTTGCTGCTATTAATTCATGTAAACAGTTCGAGTCCTACTGCTGTAAACAATCACTCAGTTTTGTGATGCTTTGCTGATCTGCGCAATTGTAGCCAACATTTGCTGTCAAGAATTCAATACATGCCTGACTCTGTGTTATGAATTCTTATAGCAGCAGCCCTTTACTTATCTACCATGTAAAAGATAACTAGTCAGGCAGAAACCAGAACATAATATTTTGGAAACAGTTTATATACTTCCTTATTTCAGGGAAATGGGCTACAGAATGCAAAAATGAGCAGCAGGAAGATTCAAGTACATACAGATCTGATTTGGGCTCTATAAAAGCAAAACCTGGCTTAGCAGCCAATTCAACTCAATTAACCACACAGATCAGGTCTAAGTTGGGTAGCATCGGATCGGGTAAAATCTACATATCCTCGCAATCTCGATCCTATATAGGTCCACCGAAAAAACAAGATATTTCAGGACTAATGTGTTCTCTGGCCCAATCCATATGCTGGTCCACCACAAACATGAATGCCATGCAAGATAATCTCGACATGAATGCAAGCACAATAAAATACATGGCCCTCATAATACCACATAGCAGAGAACAATCAAACGGGATATTTTTTATGCAGATAAAGCAAACCCTGACGGTTGAACTCAATAGATAACAGATAGAATTAAAGCTGCAAGGATAGTAAGAGGCTTGTCATACTAAAATTCTACTTCCTACCAAGGGCAGGGAACTGTCCAGGATCCTCGAGAGAAGGAGATGAAACGGAGATCACTGTCTCACCAGCAAACTCGCTCCAGATTGATCCACGATCACCTCGGCCTCTCCCACGACCAAAGCCACGACCACCAGGGCTGTAATATCTTTCCCCTTCAGCTGGCTTCAGAAACTCAGGAATAGGCACATGCTAAAAAAGGAAAATAAATTGCTCAATTGTAGAACAGGTTTGGTTTATTCAAGTCAAACATAATTAGTAAAACAAAAAAAACCTTTTTTCCCTGCTCCTGATGATCATTATCTTTCCTTCTTCCCGTATCCTTATCAGAACCCTATTAAAATTATTAATAACATAGAACAATAAATATAATTTACAATGCATTGGACGGGTGGAGTCTACAAAAGGTGCAGGTGACTAAGCTTACCAATTTAACAAATACATCATCATTTCCTTTCTTAATAGACAGCTGCTGCATGGACTCAAAATCCTTGTCAATTTCCACCTTCCTCCCTTCAGGCTTCATTGCAAGTAGTGCTTTCCGTTTTTCCTCCTTTATTTTCTCGTATTCTTCCAGAGTCATTTCCTACATCAACCAGTCCAACAGCTAAATAAGGTCCAACCATGCCATCAAACGGAAAAAATGGCAGCACGTATTTCCAACCCAAAAGAAAATAGCACAAGTCCACTACTCAAAGAGGTTCTGAAAGAAAACCTCAACAAATATAAAATAAATCTAAGCTAACTGGTTTAACTAGATTCTTTTATATTCAAATCATAATTTCAGACATTCACTTCAAGTCAACACATAGTAGATATGTATCTATGACAAAAACTTTTGTATACAGATCATATAAATTTATATGTACAGAACTTGTATGTTTCTTGTAACATGTTAGCTTCTTAACGTGTACAAATACGATAATCTGTCTGTAACAATGTTTATCAAATTATTTTTTTGACTCTTTTCTTTTTGCAGTTGACTAGATATTTTTCTGGACTTTTGACAGTTAACATACTGTGGCCACTTTTCAAAACATAGAAAATATGATTCATAATCAAGTTCATGCCAAAAAAAATTAATATCATGTCTTTCTACCATAAACCATCAATATTGCTGATATATCAGTACCTAGAATTCTGAAGCAAAAAGTAGTCAGAGCATAGGTGTAAATAATGGCTCATAGAAGAAGCAGACTTCTCTAAAAGTTAACATATTGGAAAACCTAGGATGTGCTGGCAACAAACTTCTAAGAAGCCCAAGCATAAGACACTAATTGGAAACTTCTAATTACCATATACCAATAGGATGGTGCAATATGCGGCACCTATCTGAATTGTACATGACCAAAAGAAACATGCCTAAACCTGGCCGAGTGACTAAGAACACTTGCATATGCTTTTGGTTTACACCATGCAAGACCTTTTGGATCGGCCATAGGCATGAGTCAGAGCATTCCAGAAATTTAATTCATCAAAAGATAGCACCATGTTCTAGGAACCCAAACTACGTTACAAAATAATCTTCCTCGTCTTTCAATTTGGCAAATTATATGGGCTTGATAAATAAAAACTCAAGAATCTTACTCTGAAACAAATAAAGAAAGCTGAAAGCATAAAATTTCCAAAGCCCTTCTTGCAAGAAACATTTTGCTGTTGAAAGAAAATTTCAAAGATAGGGCTGTAAGTAGTCTTTAGTATATACCTGCAACGGAACCAAAGTGGCATATTCAAGAACTTTAAAGCAAGCCATTTAGTTCTCTCAAAGGCAATAGTGATCTAGAGGAGATCAACCCTTGCCTAGTGTAACATAGTGCAAAGTGTTCAATAAGGCAATCGGTCAACATGTTCCACCCCCTAAGTATGTTCAGTATCGGACTCTAAATAATGTCCTCCTAATTTGTTTTAAGGTAATGGTTCTCATGTCATTTATATCAATAAAAAAGTATGTGGAAAAACTGCCATTATCAGAAACAAAGAAAAGACATTGATGTGATTTATTTATAAAATCATCATAAAAAGCTATCCAACCTTTCTTTCTTCTAGAAGAAAGGAGGACAAACAAGTGCAACAAATTAGACGACAAAATAACTTATGTTCCGGTACCTTTTCCTCGTTCTCATTTGCTGAGGCCTCCTTATTCACCTCCATTGGCAGTCTATCATCCTCTTCTGCCTGCTTATAAGGAATTGCAAGCTTCTCATCCATTTTTGAGTCTTTTTCACTCACCCTAATTGGACGCTACTCAAATCAGCACGAATAAACAAACAATCTACTGTGAGTGGCATTATAATAAAAGACAAATCTTAACTTTGCAATCAAATCATCATAAGTCGTGCCCCAGTTCCCACGCCCTGCGCCCTCACGCTTCATCTCATAACCACGACCAGATCCACTGTGTCTCTCATAGATCCTCCGTGGGGGTCGTTCGGAGTCAATCCCACCTCCTCCATTCACATTACCATATCCACCCCGTCGACCACCACGAAACAACTGTCGTTGTGACCCATATCCGCCACGTCCCCTTTCAGAAGGCTTATCAGCATCCCCTTCTTCAGAAACAACGCCCCCGTAACCCCTCGAAAATCCATTCATCTCCCCATATCCTAAATCCCTACCTCCTCTCCCACCCTTACCACGCCCTGTCCCACCCCAGCCAGCGCCACCACGAGAAGGTGGTGCAGCATTGCTCCTAGCCTCCCTCACTGAGAATCCAAGCACACAAAAAGATGAATTTCATGGTTGTATAGAGCAAAACTAGATCAAGGATAAAATGAATATACCAACTTCCGATCGTAAACGGTTCTAACATCAAGTAATCGGCAAGGAAAAAGAAGAGCGACAAATACCTGCTTGGGTAGGAGGGACAGGCTTCGACGGAAACGCCGGCGCCGCAGCAGAAGCGGGTGGCTTCTTGGCGACGACTTTTTGTTGCTGAATAGCGATAAAATGAGAAGGATCATCGTTATCGTCGTCCGCCAGCGGATCAAAGGGGTTGAGGCTAGCCATCGGCGTCGGAGGACCGAGGAAACACCGCCCCAAACCCCAGCAATGGATCAACGACTAGAACGATTCGATCGCCATGGAAGAACCCAACGTGCCAGTATGGATAGGAAGCCCCAAGAGTTAGGGTAAAGCTTGGAATTCTACTGCGTCGGCAGGGACAGCGAGAGCGAGCTCGAGAAGGAAAACCCTAGCGGCTCGTCCTGGCCTCGAGCCAATTCGATTAATTACGTTAATGCAAGTTAATGTCACGAAATGACGGCATTGTACTCTCCTGCGGAGTTAGTTATTACGAAAATAGCAAGGGAACGTCATTCCTGTGATTTAGTCTTAGAATCTGCATCAGACGGTTGTAATGAGATCACCAGCACGACGTTCAACGAGATTCTTTTTCGATGTACTTGATGAGCTTAGAATAAATACTCTATATATGAACACCTTTTATTCATGGTATTGACACATGTGCCCGCTGAAATTGCCACCTCAGCTTCATGCACGAATTCTACAAAAATATGTCATCAATTATACTGAATTAGTAATAATGAAATGGTCAGGATATAGCGAAGACATCAGAAATTGATGTAGATGGATGTCTGGACGTGGAAGATGAGGCCTTTGCTTGTCGTTTTAAGTTTCAGCATATACGTTAAACAATTGAATTTTCTGCAGTGAATCCTGACGATATTTACTGCATCTTGCAAGTAGGACGAGGAAAGACTGACCAATAAGCTTCCATATCATCATTCATTAACCTAAGAAATTTCACCAGCACATCATCATAATTCAGGACTATTTTAGAGTTGTGCAAGAATGGAAAGAGGAAATATCAAAGGGTAGCAGGCAGAAACCAGTGGAATAATTCGGCTAATATTGAATGATTGTCTTCGTTATTTGGATACAGTAAGGCCGGCGGATAGTTTACAAGTTAGAACACACAATTATAAGCTAAATGTTTACCTAAAACATTGAGATCATTAGGGAATAAGTCATGTATGTACTGCAAGGCACACCAGTTTACTCGAATCTTGACAATAAAACCAGCTCAGTGCAGAGATGGAAGTTGGCTCTTCAATGGCACGACTAACTTTTTCTCATTTTCGACCTCGCATATCTGAAAAACTTAAGGAAATTCTTAGCAAGTACAAACAATGGTGAAAGCTTCATCCGAGAGAAGCAAACCAAGATGACAAATGCTAGAGATTAAGATACTTAAGGAGTTTGCAATTGTAAGTGTAAGAACCTCAGAAAAACCTAGATTATGCTGGTTGTCAGCCAAAGGATTCATGGAGAAGCAATCTCTCTGTGAGAGAGAGTCTCAAAACATGGATTCAGGAAAGCTTGTGAGCATATGAAGGATTTATACTACACTAGAGATGCCATGACTAAGAACAGAGGATACTCCACATGCACACCACCACGGTCAGATGATTCCAGCAAAATTCCCTGAAGACCATTCATCGCAGCGGTTGATGATTCAGTGTCCTGCAACAAAGCTTTCTCTTTGTCAGAGGAGACTTATGGTAAGATATATTCAAAAGTATCAAAGCTTGAGAGAAACTATTTTATAGTCATTTGGATGTGGTTTGACACTAACAATTAAAGCAAATATATACATCAGCAACCCCCTAATGCTTCAAGCAAATATACAATACTGACTGTCATTATCTAGTTAGAATATCTCTTTCCAAGCAAAACTAGAATAATTCTTATTAAGAACACAATGGGAGTTCCCACAAAGGTCTGAAAACAAATGGTCCAAGTGAACCATTAACTTAAAACATGACAATTTAAAAGAAGCAACACATTCTACAAGTCAAACAGATGCAATATAACAAACAGCATCGGTACCGTAAAATCAGCAAAAGCAACAGGCATTCCACCTCTTCCCCGCATCTTAAGCATATGGAAGCCAGAGTATCTAGACAGTTAACCAAAATTAAGACAAACTATTGATGCAATCCAGTCAAACAAAGAGAAAAACAAAGCAATTGTTCACTCAGAAGCTGTAGGAAGCATCAAAACTTACTTAGACAAGACTTGCTTTAGTTCTTCTTCAGTGCAAGTAGGACCCAGATTTGCAATGAACAATGTAGAACAGGGTGGAATATCTGTGTGATCCTGCAGCATGAGAATGACCATGTATGTCAACTTTCAGAATGCCTAAAATGAATACACACATGTAACAGTTAATTGCAGGAATAAAAAGCATGACACACCAGATAGCAAGATAACATGAAGAAGTTCTTTGTCTATCAGCCAAAGTGATCTTTCCAAATGAGGTGACAGATATGAAATCACTTCATTACTATTCTGGATTGACAAGCAAAATTAATCGATGAGGGATTCTTGTCTGTGGAGATTGAAACTGACGCTCTCCAAATTGTACAAGTCCTTGATCAAGAGGACAAACCACCATGGAGCTTTACCAACCTAATTAGTAACCTTTTTGTTTTTTTAAGCAAGCTTCAGGCTTGGAAGGTGATTTACATTCGTAGAGAAGCTAATCGGTGTGCTCATTGGTTATATAATCATGCCAAATCTAATAGGATAGAGGTTTTGTGAAGGGACAACTGGCCCCCTTCTCTATCCTCCTTTTTGAGCTCTGATGAGCAGGGCTTAGGATGTAATAGTTTTCTTTCTTAACATAGTGTTTTTCTTTTGGAAAAAAAAAGAATAAGCAAAATTAATCATCCTAACCACCACCAGCTAGTGATTTTCTCCAGACACTAACAATGTGCTAAGTCTATAAGTTCTATCTTCACTAAAAGATGACAAAGAACGATAGAGTTATTGTACTGGAAATCCAGGGACAATATGGAAATATAGAAATATGACATACCAGATCATATGGAAATTTTCAATGTAAGAGAACCCAAAAATAACCATAAACCTTTTCTTGATCTGATACCATTCTAGTAAGAAACTCACATTATACAAGTGTACAAAAAGGACTTACGGTCTGCTATTACCAGACTGATAATATTGGGAATAGCCCTGGTACCAAAAGATGTACTTCAAACGAATATTGAAATAAGATCTAAGCTCAGTATGATAACTTACATTGAATGTACCATCAGCACCATCAGGTATAACAATGGTCCCCTCACTGCTTTCAATAGAAATAAACAAAGTTAAACTAATAGAAAATTAAACCAAACCTATCAATCTGCTAGTTTATATTAAAGCAGTCATATATCTGGGATGATCTGAACCAAAAAAAAATCATGATAATAGTAAATACATTTTAACATAAGTAACCATGTGCATTTGAAGTGCATTTTGACCTCTTTACTGCAGCTAAAGCATCCTTGTTGCTGGGATTATCATTATCTGTGCCTGATGGTTCATCAGATCCACCATCTCCTGACGTGCAAATGTGTCAAAAACATGTGCAAGTGAGTTGGAGAATCAACACATGGTGTTAGTGTCTTATGGTGAAATGTAGCATGCAAATCCTCAGTAAAATTTATGTGGAAGCTGAAGTGATGAGGACAAAAATAACAGTAAACTTATAAAATGGGAACAGAGAAAGATATCTATGACAACAATATAGTATTTCATTAATGGTTCAAAGGAGACATAATACTGACTTCAAGCAATTAAACATTTCATTACCATCATCACTAAATAACTCCTGATCATCATTTGTAACTTTAACCCGTTTGTCAATTACCGTGTAGGCACCAACTCCTATATCAACAAACAACCATATTATCTGATGAACAATCTGCTCAGGATATATACTATTCACAAGTAGTCAACGCCCGAACTAATAACAAAATCATTTTCTACTGACAACATTTCTCATTTGCATTAATAAAGAATAATTCTACATACCCCGTGAGCGCTTTCGAGAATTTGATCTGGCCAACTCGATATGCAGGGTAGCTCCAATTTCAGGATCAAAAACAACCCCCTAAAAAAGATACATCATAAAGAATCAGAATAAAGACCCTAAGATGATAAATGCAATAGATGGGAGTAACATAGCCACAGTTGTAGCTGTTTGTTTGCTCTAATTTAACAAGTACTATATATTTAAGTTCAGACTTTGGATAGGCCAACTTATATGCAAAGTGCAATTACAGCCTGTTGGAGAGTTTCATCAAGATATGCACTGACACATAGACATTAAAGTTGTTGCCTGTTAGGAGATTAGGATCCAGAGACACAAGGATAAACTAATAAAGTTCCAAAATGGCATCAAGTTGTGTACATAAACGGCTGTTATCTGTTAGAGATTATCAAGTTATTCATTAGATTTTTCAATATTTGAATAGTTACAGAGACATTTTTCTCCACTGATAAGGCCCCACCATCCAGAAATGGATGGCCAAAATATCCGAAGTAAATAAGTACATGTTTAGTTGTCTGTCGAACACATTCCATAAGTTGATCAGATATACTTCATCAAGAAAAGGAAAATTACAAATATAACTATGCCTTTGTGTGTGTATGGAATCTAAGATTCTTTTAGGTGGCTTTTAAATTACTATAGATTAGATTGAGCACCTAAAACTGATCAAAGATCATTCCAAAAACATGTATGCAATTGTCTGAAGTACTATTGGCCATTGTTAACATAATAGTGCATTATCCTTATTTAATTTTGAGGGTTGGCTAAGTCCAGTTGGCACTGCTATTATCCCTGCTTGTCATATGCTTCTTTGTGGGGCTCAGTGAAATCAGGTGATTAACACTTTATCGCCTTGGCACACCAACTCATGTGACATTGAAGGAAAACAAGAAAAATAAAAGATGATTTATTTTCCCTGATATTTTGTAGTTGCTAGTTACTAGGATTAGATGAATCAAGACTCACATAGGACAGATTTAAGTGTCATGAATCTACTTTAGATTATTTAATTTTAGCTTTTCAATTTCTCATGATTTTTTGTTTCTGATCAAGATTAACTTGAGAATTTAAGTCAGCGAGAATTTATTTTCAGGAGTGTCATGCCAATATGATATGAGTAAAAGAAAGCCAACAGTCACAATTGAAAGAAAGAGCAAGAGTTGCCACCTCTTTGAGTGTTAAGACAATTTGGTTCACTGATTCATTCAGGGTATAGAAAATGATGCGGACCAAGGTTATCAGTATCAGTGTGTTGTACCTCATATCAGAGAGCAGATGCATCGTCCAAGCCAGAGATAAAAAAATAAATATTTCAGCAAAAAATCTTGCAAAAAAGGAGTTTTAAGCTGTTAGCACCTGCTAATTACAATTTCCAAGCAGAACAGAGTTTGCCCATGTTTTATATAAATATAAACACCCTCTCATTTGATTATTGAACTTCCCACTGTAGAAATTATCACTGTCACCACTATCGTCTCACCAGCAGCAGCAACACCATCACCACGGCCACTGCTTCAGTCACCATCACGACAATGCTGCCACCACCAACATCACAGTTAGTACTGTCATTGTCATCTACCACTACCACCACTATTTATGGTCAAAACTACCCTTGTCATCGCTACTACCAGTACCGTCACTTCCACTAATAACAATCAATTATCATCATTATTACCGGCATCGTCACCGCCAACACCACTATTACAACCATCACTACTGCCATTAGCATAGAAACTAATGTTATTGTCATCATTGAATTACCACCATTGTCATGATAGCTACTACTGTGGCCACCATGGCTGTCATCACCATGATCGCCACCTCTGCTACCATCATTGTCAACAGCCGCAACCATTATCGCTGCTGCCATTGCTTCCATTTGACACCACCACCACCATCAGTTATTGCGATCCACTGACATCGAAATTACCACCACCACTACCGCTATTAACAACCAATATTATTACTGCTACTCCAACAATTACCATTATCTCACCATCTTCATCACCACCAATGCTATTACCACTATCGCTAGCCACCTTTACTGTTTCAATCTCCACTATAGCTGCCACCACCACATCCTTCACTACCACAACCATTGTCATTGGTTTTATTGTTAAAATTTGTCAAGAAGTTGCTCTACTACTATTGAGTTGGTCAGAAAAGCACTTTTGAAACCAAAATCTACAAGTACGTCAACAATTACATATCCCAATTTTTAAAAAAAAATTCTAAGAGCTAAATATCAAAGAAGGAGAAACAATATTGAATTCGCACTCAAAGTGCATTGAAGCATTTCCACGTCTAAAGGAAATTTGACAGTAAAAGGAATAAGTTATAATATTTCGGAAATGAATAAATGAAGAAAAATCTCACATCTAAGGAGCTCATTGCCGCTATTGCTGATTGATGATTGAAAAAAGTGGCGAAGGCAACAACCTGTAATTGAAAAAATAATAATTATATCAGATCAACATAGAACAAAAGATCGCGAAAGAGTAACTATAACACAAGCAACATCTACGGAGTTTTGTCTGTGTCAGCCCAAAAAGGTGCGTGTCATTGTTCAATATACAAAAATCAAGGATACTCACTGTTAGCCGAACAAACTTCACTAGATTGGACTCTTCAAACAACAAAATACGGAGATCGAACACCAAAAACCCTGGAAGCATCAAAACCCCAGACAAAAAAAGGGGGCGAAAGCAGCGACCTGATCTCCGCGACCGGTGTACTCGAGCTGGCAAGAGTCGAACCCAGGGCGGCGGCGGAAGAGGTTGTGAATCTCGCGGGGTTTGACGTCGTCCGGGAGGCCGGAGACGAAGAGAGTCTTGATCCGTTGCTGCTCTGGCTTGGAGTAGACCACCGGCGGAGCAGGCGGATGCGCCGGGTGTGGCTGCTGGTGGTGGTGGTGGTGGGAGTGAGGGTGAAGGTAGTAGGGCTGGGGGAAGCCGGGGGCCTCGACGACCGCTCCTGCGGCGGCCGGTGGCGGCGGGTGCATCGCGACCGCAGCCGAAGAGTTGCTGGGCGGCGCGTGGGAGGCGTAGGAGGGTTTCATCTCCCACCGACAAGAGAGAGAGAGAGAGAGAGAGAGAGTGTGGCCGCTGGAGAAGAATAAATTGGGCCGGCCCACAAAGAATTGGTAATGTTTTGTGTGTTCTACTTACCGGAAATCTTTCCGAAGATAGCTCTCTGTCGGCTTCTCAGCTGCACTGGGAATGCCACACGTTAACAGCAACAAACAGACACAAAAGAAAGAAAGAAAGAAAGAAAGAAAGAAAAGAAAATATAAGGTTAATGGAAATCTGAGATAGATATTCTAACTTTTTTAATGAGCGATAAAGTAGTATTACATCCACCACCTCTACGTTTATTCAAACTTATTCTTGCTGGACATGTTACATTAGAAGTGCGACATTGAGGGAGTGTAGTTACTATTTCAAATAATTATTTCTTTTATCCTAGTATAGTTATTACAATCAAGGTTCGCAATATCGTATCGGTATTTCGACCTGGGTTTGCCGGCACGGTATGGTATACCGAGCGGTACACCCAGGTGTACCGAGCACTGTAGCACTGTTACAGTGCAGACCGGTACTGGACGGTCCACGTACCGCTGACCTGTCGGATCGGTACGTACCGCCCATACCGGGCGGTACGATTCGGTATGGCAGACACTGATTACAATGTCCAACGTTTCCGATGATTTCTTATCGAATAGCATATCACAACCTTGCAAAATCGCTCGCATGAAGAAACTTCGATAGGTTGACTTCCTGAGAAACTACTCATCCGACAAACAAAAACTATCTTAACACAGGTCATTGAGTCTCCTGCAGCAAGAAAGAACACCGTCAAATTAATGCAATCTACCACTAGAATGCTACTGAGCATGAAGAACAGCCAATGTAGATTTCTTCGAGCTCACCAACCTGAGGTTGCTCGTTAACAACAGTCGGCTTCTCATAGAACTCTACCTGCAAAACAAACTAAGATGAAATGGACAGGAATTCACTAACAAGAGCAACAAGAAAATACCACCATTTGAGGAAAAACACTGTCGGAATTGTAAGAGAAATTTAATGTTTATTCTTTGCTAAGATGAGATTTTTCTCATTCCCTTTTTTGTTTCCTTTGCTAGTTTTATAATTTTTTTCTATGATCATACATATATAAAAATAATATCTGATCAGATGAATTCTCGATTATATCCCAATATATAACCCAAACATATACAATAGACTAAATTATCCTACTATTCATTCTCCTATCAAATTTTTTTTAACATATAAGGAATATTTATGCACCGATCAAAGCGACAATTGACAGTTACCAAAGAGTCGACGTGAAATGACTCAACATGTGTCCCGTAAGGAGTGACACTGACTTAGCAAATTACACATGATCGGCTCCATATCACTTGAGACCGTACTGGTCGACGCCACACAATAAAGGTCGAGACGAGTCAATCAACACCGTTGGGAACATACGAGTTGGTTGCTCGCATGATCATGCTAAACAAGATAATGATGAATATTAATGACTCACGTACCTTCGAGTTGTCTCTGTAAGTATAAATGTCAAACTCCCACTGAGATCGAATTTTTAATATCATTACAATTCACTCATCAAGTCAAAAAAATTTTCTCTCGACATATGAGATCGATCTTATAGAAGCACACCACATATGAGATCGTTCGAGTCTCACATCGGGTCGACCATGAAGACACAACGGAACCTTGAGATCCAACCCATGACTGACCTCACTCCCTCAGCCTCCTCTTCTTAATAATTCACATGGATAATCTTATACTTTCGGGACAAGATCAAACCCCATCGAGCACAGCATAAAGTTGCACTACAAGTGCTATTTGTTTTTGACTTGTATAATGTTTTTTTACTGCCACCTTCCATTCCACACAACACTATATTACGTTGCAGGTACTGTAGCCGTGAGAGAAAATATTGTTTATATACATCATACAATACATTATCTCGATGCATCAACTTGTGGGAGGACAAGTCTCCATGTCTTATCCCAGTACACAGTTCGCCACCTTCCCTTCTCCATCTCTCTCTCCTCATCACACGATAATATGGCATGTTCTTCGGCCATCAGAAAGGAAGGTTGGGCCTGTGTGCCAGCTCCCAGTACACAGGACAACAGGAACTGTTTACGTAGATTGTAGCAGAAGATACGAGGCTCGACATTATATTTGTAGTATCTTCAGCAAAGTTTCCATCAGTTGGAAGGTAGGCTTGACATTACATGACTTGGTGCTTATCCAAATCACATCCATACATGTATTCACCCTATAAAGTTTATAAACCTTGGAATAAATGTCTTGCTAGAATAGCCTACTTTCTTCTTTATGTGGCTGGACTAAGCTAGTCCCAGATACTTAAACTCTTCTTCTGCATGTTAATTATATCAAGTGGGACCTCATATTATTCCTGATCTCTGATACGTTAGCCTACGGTTCTTGGCACAGCAAATGCTACAGGGTTAGTCAACGACATTGACCACGGTGACCCGACCGCGTCACCAACGGCTGACAGCGCCCGCGGATCCTTCCTAACGAGTGCCGTCACTCTTCGGTTACTCTACCGCAACCCTCACCGCCGTTTTCTCCACCCCGCCCGTGGTTCACCCAGCTGGCCTTCCTACCTTGCGATTGGAGACAACGCGTCGGGACCCACGGCTGACCCACCAAAAGCGAAATGACTTGCGGTCTACCGGCCTACGGAAGGGATAAAGGTCGCATCCTAGGCGAAGCAAAGTGTGCGGCGTACGTAAAAAGCTGGCACGCCTAAAACGCCATCCTTCGTGTTCCGGTAACCTCCAAACTCGACTCGGAGAGAGAGAGAGAGAGAGAGAGAGAGAGAACCTCATCGACGAGCCCGTGGGTGGGGGCACGATAATGAGAGGATGCAGCCTTGGACGGGGATCGCGAGGCCGGTAGGCGTGGCATCGTCGACCACGTGGCGGCACGGCGTGGCCCTGCGCGTCGCTTCCGGCTGCCTGTCCTTTGATCCCTCGTGATGGGCGTGCCGCGTGGCACGACGCCGTACGTCCCGCATTGATTCCTCCTCCACCTCGCTTTAAAGCGAAGTGTCTCGTGGCAGTGTTTTGTTTCACTGCTTGTTCTATATTCGGGCAGCGCGCTCCTTACCATGGTCCATCATAATCTGCGTGCATGAATGCCGTCGATCGCATCATGTTTCGCCATGAAATAAACAAACATTTCGTCACCTACAGGAGGGTAAAATACTGTATCAGGAACTACTGGGCCCACAGCACCGGTCTCGTCACTCGTGGTATCGAGTCATGGGTGCTGCTGGAGTAAATGAATTGGCCACATCCGTATGGAGACATAAAAATATTCTGCAGCTCGCGGTGACGGGATTTGGCTAATAGGCACCCGGGGCACCACCGTCGTTACCTAAATCGTACAGCGTATTAATGGCTCCACCTTCTTTAACCGTGCTCCTTAGGCGATATCAGCGAGCACCGACATTAACGACGACACTACAGCGAGGCAACGACTCGACATGACTCGATCGATGTGGCGCCTTCGTTGGGGTCGGAAGTCCGCACCAAGTGTGAACCTACGAGTCGAAGTAAAACCGTAATAATAATGACACTAGAAAATAAATCTGGTGAGTTCGAAGGGATTGGGGCCCAAAGACTGGTACGGGCCTGACACAGCCTCCTGCTGCCTCCACGTGTCCCACCACCACCATTAAACCGCTTCTCCGCTAACCGCTCACTCTCCCGCCGTTTGCCTCCGGAACCACTCGGAGCTTTATACCTTGCTCTGCACCGCCTTGGTCCTTCGAACGCCGTTACTTTTGGCGTCCTGGTTCACGGTTACGTAGCTTAACTGAACCACAGTTATGGATCCCTAACCAGGGTCACCCTAGTAGTTTATAATCACCGCCTCCCCCCTCACCGATATCTCGCCCTGCGCCCAAATAGGTAGGCAAAAGAGAAGGTTGGCAGTGTGAGAGAGAGCGAGAGAGAGAGAGAGACGATGATGATGATGATGACGACGACGACGGGCGGAGACGGAGGGCAGCTTCGCTATCCCACGGTCCACGTCCCGCCGTGGTCATTGCCCTTCGAGAATATGGCGGCGGGGACTGACTATCACCTCACCGCCGCTTCTGGCGGCGGGGGTGTTGGTGGCCAAGAGTTTCCTTTCGAGGAGTCCACCTTCACAGCGTTGCAGAGGCAGCTTTCGTGCAAGGGCGAGGAGACGGGAGCGGAGGAAGAGGACGTGGAGGAGCCGGCCTCCGCCGTGGATGTGTACTCGTCGGACGAGTTCCGGATGTACGAGTTCAAGGTGCGCCGATGCGCGCGCGGGCGCTCCCACGACTGGACAGAGTGCCCCTTCGCTCACCCCGGCGAGAAGGCTCGGCGCCGGGATCCCAGGAAGTACCACTACTCCGGCGCGGCCTGTCCGGACTTCCGCAAGGGCGGCTGCAAGCGCGGCGACGCCTGCGAGTTCGCCCACGGGGTGTTCGAGTGCTGGCTCCATCCCGCGCGCTACCGGACGCAGCCATGCAAGGATGGCACCGCCTGCCGCCGCCGCGTCTGCTTCTTCGCCCACACACCTGACCAGCTCCGTGTCCTCCCGCAGCAGCAGCAGACGCCAACCAACGCATCGGCTACGGTGGAGTCGTACGATGGCTCGCCGCTGCTCCAGCAGGCGATGGAGTCTTACATTTCAAAGCACCTGATGTCCTCCTCGCCAACCTCCACATTGATGTCTCCGCCGATATCCTCGCCCTCGAACTCCCCACCGATGTCGCCGAGCACCGCGGCGCTCGGGCGGGCGTCGTGGTCGGTGGGAACATCCCCCAACGAGATCGTGGCCTCGATGCGGCAGCTGCAGCTCAGCAAGGCGAAGTCCGCGCCGAGTTCTTGGGGCTTCCAACTCGGTAGCACCCTGTTCGGATCGCCAAGAGGAACCGGAACCGGGTTCAGGGCCGATCTGTGCGGTCTGCCATCGATCCCAACGACGCCGGGGACGTGCGTTGGCGGACTCGCGTGGTTAGATGACATGAGCGGTGGTTCGGCGGAGGGGGAAGAGCCAGTGGAGAGAGTGGAGTCCGGGAGGGCCCTGAGGGCGAAGATCTTTGAGAAGCTGAGCAAAGAGTGCTGCGTGGCGAAGAGGGCGGAGGCGGCTCCGCCGATGCCGGCGCCCGACGTCGGGTGGGTGTCGGAGTTGGTGAAGTAATCTGTAGATTTCATGGACGACCATAAATAGTGACGTCAGAAGAAACAACGAAGGCGGAGAGATGTGGTGTCTTTGTACATAGAAAACGGTGGCCTGTTTTGGGGATTCTGATGGAGGAAAACAAGGTGAAGGTGAAGTGATCGGTAAACACACCTGAAGATGGATTAGAGCGGCTGTGGAAATTTGTAGCTCCGATTGATTTCAAGCTTCGTTATCACTGAGTCTATGCTACTACCTTTCTTCTTCTAATCTTATTTTGTCTTGTTATTTCAATGTTGAACCTGTAATTATCGATGTCATCTCCCGTCAATCTCACTGTTGTACATATATATATATATGTTTGTTGAAGTATATGTCAGGAGTGGTTGCAGGTGGTTGGCATTGTTAAGTTGTTGGAATTTATAATAATAATTGGGTAATCAAATAGAAAAATCATTTAATGAAGATACTCGAATTTTTCTTGGTCGTAGTCCAGCAGCACCCTCGGAGGAGGGCAACAGAGTTGGGGGACCCGCAAAGCCCTTTGCTCGCTTTGCTGTCTTCCGCAAACGCAAGAGAGAAGGAAGCCGTGCATTAACTTCTGTTACGCCCTTTTCATGATGCGGCAGAAGCAGCAGCAGCAGTGCGACTCAAGTCTCGCGTCTTTTCACGTGGTTAAAGCGTGGGACCGGCGTCCCTGACGTCGCACCCACCGGTCTTTTTAAGGTTAGGAAGAAGAATTAAGAGCGTCCTAATTCTTTGTTACCGGCTCTAATAAATCTGTGGCCGTCCGTCGTGGAGTCGTTATCGTCCACATCAACGGTGGGGATGTGGTCGTCACCCGAGAGTTAGGGCCCTACGACAGCGGGCTCCATGCAGCGTTTAGTGCGGGGCCCAACGGGGGAGGAGGGTGATGGCGTTGTTGGTCCTGTTATAGTCACTTTTGTCTCGGTTTACATGAACCCCAGTACTGAAACAGGTACGAGTGGGCCGTATCTCTTCTTCCCTCCAATCTAACCCAACAACAGATGAATAGCTGCGGTTCTTTTTTCTCCCATTATAGTTCGACTCACTTAATTTTAATGGCAAATTCTTATTTATATATATAAATATTTATTTTCATATAGTATTTTTTATCTCCTAAAAAGATGAAATTACCCTTAACCTTTGCCTTGTGACCTCCATCTTATCACTCCTCTCTCCTCTTCCTCCATCGCCCTTGTCGATCATCTTCTCCTCCTCCTCTATCTCCTTGCGCGTCTCTATCCTCGTTGTCGTTCTCATCTGCATATCATCATCGTTGTTGTCACCCATACACCCTCACCTTCATTGTCATCCTCGTGGGTTCGACACAAGTTCTTATGATTGTTGTCGTTGACGCCATGGCGAACACCAGTGAAGCTATTGGTTGTAGAGAGAGTCGGCTTCGGTCTTGCCTTTGGCCCACTCCCTATGCCTAACCCTCGTTATCACTTTGTCATTGTACAATGCCTGACAAATCTGTACATAATTAGAGCAAATGTGATTTAACACATAATAGGCGCCCAAGGGACTTCGCTTCATTTAGCGAACAATGATAAGGGCGGTGAACTTAGGCTGAACTCTAGCACTAAGTGGACGATCGCAAGTGAGGATGATAATAAAAACACGTGAGCAATAAGTAATTGAACGGGCGGAGAGTATGTAGTGTGGTAACTAGGAAAAATTAAAAATAAAAGGTTTATATTTGGAAAAATTACCCTAGCTTTAATCGAGACATCTATTCAATTGATTTAGGTTTAATATGAATAGAAAAATAAATGCCCGAAATTGAAAACTTAAACAATCGATTGTGATTTCAGTTTAGTTAGATCGATTTTAATAAGAATGCATATTATGGTTTAGAGTAGGGATCGAATCAAACAATAAAATTACTTATGCCATGTCTTAAAAGCCAATCACTTCAATTCCAAGATGGTTTCGCGATTCTAATTGGAGGTAAGGAATCAGGAAAGAAATATAATTTCTTTTTAAGTTGTGGGATCAAGTTCGAAGATGCTTCGAATTGAAAGGCCCTCCAACTTAGAAATGTATATTCCCATAACGAGTAAATAAATGCTCGTAAACTTCATCTTATTCGAATACTGAAATACCTTAATTCTTTCACAACAGTAACATCCAAAAAAACCTTATTCTCTTTTGATCAAAACAATCGATACTTTAACTTACGAAACAGAAAAATTACAGCCAAATTGATTCCCGGAAAATTAACGGATAGTCCATATCCGATCATATCCACCATATACATAGCTCAAGCACAAGCATGCTTTCAAGAAGCATCTAATCCTCAATTAAGACAAATATAGCCTGAAGATTTTAAGAGCACTAGTCTCAGCTGGTGTTCTTAATTAGCCGAGGTGTCGAAATCAACCCCTACTCCATGACTATTCTCTTTGTCCGATAACTGTGTTGGTGGCTCATCTTCCTTCTTGGCATCCTCAATGTCCTTTTGGCTAATAAAACTGGGTTGGTTAGTCGAAGAAAGAAGCCTTGCCCACATCCTATCAGTTATCACAACCTTATTCTGTTTCTCTGTAATCCTCTGCATAACCAAGAAACAGAAAATTGTGGGACAAAGTGCTATAATCAGAAAAGAGCTTCAGCATTCCCAACATTGAAATCGAAGTCGACCCAATTAATGCCAATTACGTAGAACATCTACACAAAAAAAAAAGAAAAGCAAAAGAAAAGATGCTACTCACGTGAAATGGTATATAAGCATGTCTACCATTAACAGGACCAACAGTGAAACCAGTATATCCTGCCATGGTGCCATGCAATGCGCTATGGGCCAACAAAGTGCAGTAGACGTTGTCAGATGCATTGCTGGGAACTGCACGAATCATGTACGTAGGGTCTGCAATATAAACATGAATTCACATTGAATCATACTTAAAGCGAGTCAGATCCAGTGAAAGAATTCTGCTATGCTACATACCTATATATTTGAGATTTATAGCCATCTTTTGGTTTCTTGCAAAGTGATCCTGCAGTACACACAAGGTCAAAATGAGTAGTCGGAGGACTATTCAATTATTTCCAGCTCAAAAAGAGTTCTCAAAGAACTATTCACTTATTTATCGTTGAAATGGATTGTGAGCATGAAGATAGCCTTCTCATGTAGAAAAGACATTGATTAATGACTTTGCAAATTGTGATAACCCTATGCTAAAGTGGCCGGCAGTGTCAATTACGTTCCCTTAGACATACTACTCCTCTACTATTAAGGTGATCTTGTTATTAGAAGTCAGAATAAGAAAAGATACCTTTATCTTATGTGACAGCCACAGCCCAACATCAAGAAGTAGCTTATTTCCAGAAGCATCTTGATGCTCCATGGATCGCATACTTTCAGTGATCAACTCTTGTCCTGCACCCTCAGCGACAACGATTACCATATGGCCATTCTCTTTAAGTCGCCTTTCAATGAATGCCAAAAGTCCACCCTTCCCTTCCATATGGAAAGGTGACTCAGGAATCAAGCAACAATCCTGGGGACAAAAAGTAGAATTATGCACCTTCTTAGGAAAAAGAAGATGTTAACCTTGATACACTAGGAAAAATGAAACATCTCAGACAATTGTTGTGCAGTTGACAAACAGATTAAAGTTCATACCACATCTCTGCTTGCAAGAGTAGCATACATAGCAATGAATCCTGCATCATCAAATTAGTTGAATGATCATTAGTGGAGATGATAGTCTACAGAGATGTATTTAGTAATGCAACTATTAGTTCCATAATTGCCTCTCAATCATAGTTCAGAATCAGCAACTATAAAAGATAGTGCTCCAACAGTAATAATTAGATGCAGCTTCCTTGCAATTGAGAAATTTAACAATGATATGACTGTTCTAAGAATTGATCAGAGGCTTACACATCTTTGTAAGCAAGTATTATGAAACCTTCCAACAAATTCCATGTACATCACATGCACTAAACCTAGATATGTATACAAGCTACCAGATCATTGTGCTAAATTAACTACTAAAATTTCACATCAAGGTGAACATTTTCTGCTAATACATCATAGATTATTAGATCATACAACACATTAGTAAATGTTTGAACAATTGACATAACAATAAGCAGAATACATAAAAGCCTAAAAATATAGATAAAACAAAAGAGAGTACAAGACCTGAAGAAAGTTACACGCAAAGAGATTAAAACACCATGTAGATCCCACTCAGCCTAAAGTGAGGCAACTCGAACGTCTGTACCACGACAACAATCATGTCTTACTACTTTTAACTCATTCATGGGACCAGTCTCGTCTCTTACAAGCATCGATTAAGATTTTGAAGCAAAAGTGAGTCAGAATCAAGGTACACACAATTGGTAATGCCTCAACAACTTAAAAGAGATTCAAAACCAGCAAATTAGTCTGATAATGTTACCCAAAAATTTATTTAGTTGCATAGGAACATGCAACATGCAAAGTCAGATATTGTAATTCTTACTAATGCTTGAAATCAATTTTATGTATATATAGTCATTAGCTCTTTTGAATCTAATCTACACATGCTTGCATGATTTCACAAGGATAGTTAAGGGCTACAACTAACCGCTATTGCGACCCATTAGCTTCACAACACCTATACCATTCTCAACACTTTCTGCTTCGACATGTGCAGCATTTATTGCCCGTTGGGCCTCTTCAACAGCAGTGTCAAAACCAAAGGATTTGTCGATTACCTGATTAAGTGGTCACAACGGGAAAAATGGTTAATACATAAATATCAATAAAGCAAAAGTTGACATGAAAAATGAATGTGAAGAAAATAGGGAGAGGAAAGTACCACAATGTCATTGTCTATGGTTTTTGGGATCCCAGCAACAGCAACCTTGAGGCCACGTCTTTGAATTTCCTGAAAATGGAATATGAGAGAATGAGCCAAAATAAAAACAACTCTTTATTTTTCACAATAATAATAGATGAAATTTTAAAGACCTTTAGGAATTGACGGATTCGAAGTAAATGTACTCTCATAATTACCTCAAATATTACAGATGCACCCTTTTGTGTTCCATCACCTCCAATTATGTAGACCTAGCATAATAAAAAAGAAGAGTTATAATCAGTTGATACTGTTGTAAAAGAAGTAACTTCCTAATCTATGGATATTGGTTTGTGATTTAAAAAAAAAAGAAAACATAAAGATTGTACATGTTATCTTGCTAACCTGATTAACACCACGATCCTCGATACTGTCAACTATCTTTGAAGTGTCATGACCACCTCTTGATGTGCCAAGAATCGTACCTCCTCGTTTGTGAATATCATTGACACTCTTGGGTGTCAAGTCAATGGTGTTGCAGGAATAAAAGCCTCTATATCCACCCTATAGATGCCACCAACTAAATTAGTTGACAGAAAGAAAAACATTTATCAAGGCTAAAGAGTTATGATTAAGAGGAGAAGATTTAATGTAAAGATCAATACCCCAGTCATCCTAGTGTTTAGACAATTTCAGTTTCCAAGTATTAAGTATCTAACATGACATGATTTCAGAAATGGTATGGGTTAGTAATTTGTGATTCATTAAAAGAACAAAAGCTACATAAGCTAGAAGCCACAAATTACACCAAGTCCTAGTCAACAAAATGAAACCATTCAGTAATAGAATTCAATAGGGAAACACTCACGTCTATCCCAATAATTTTGCGGACACCATACATGTCATATAAGCCACAGACTATTTCTCTGATCACCGTGTTAAGCCCAGGGCACAAACCTCCACATGTTACAATGCAAGCATGCACCTCATCTGATTCGAAGTACACCTGGAAAAATAAAAATAAAAATCAGTTTAGATGATTTTTGACAATTGCTAAAAGATAACATGCAGGAGACCCTACCCTTTGACGAGGCCCAGCACGTCGAAAATGTGTCCCTCTTGGGCTGTCCTTGTGAACCACGATCTATATTTAGAAAAGAGAGGGAGAGGGAAATTAGGTAACTAAATCTCAAGAATCAAACTATAATCAGTGCCAAAATTCTCTTTAATGCAGCACGAGATATCTGAAAATCACAATTTTCAAATTCAAAGATTACAGCTACTAATCTGACATATCACCTTCTGGGCCACCGTATCGTCTGCATTCACAAAATACTGCCTGCAACCACAAATAGCAGCAGTGTGGTGACTTTTGAATGTGCCAATGAGGGCAGAAGGCAGACTAAAAGGAAACGAAAAGGAAATTACTTGACGACTGAGTATGCCGGATTATTCTGCAGCGGATTTGGATAAGTCTACCAAAATAAATTACAAGTATCAGCCTTAAAGTCGATGGACGAAAGAAAAGATTCGTTATCTCTTGCAGAAATAGAATAGTCTCTGAGATATAAAGCGCGGAAAATGCACAAAGCCTTTTAATATAAGACAATGCAGGCACTAAAGTAGCAGCTGAAACACTGATCCTATGGCATGACCACATCAAAACCCGAATAGTATCCGACAAAGAAAAGCCAGTAGGAACAATAAAGAGCGCTTAAGATATGAACTTCGAGCCAGAAAACCAGAAATCGATTTGCAGCAAGCTCATCGAGCAACAAATGAGTAACAAAGCCAGATAAAGGCGCAAAAACAGAGAAAAAGATACCAACTTTCAAAAAATTCTCCAATCCAAAGAAGAAGGGGGGGAAATAGATCAAACAATACCACGAAGGAAGCAAAGCGAAAGGGAACTCACAGGCAGATCGGGCAAGTAATCGGCGAGGTGGGGAACGTCCTCGAGAACGTAGCCCGCGTCCCCGCAGACGACCTTGGGCGGCGCCGTCTTCCCCTCCGAGCCCATCCTCCGGCGGTCCGACCGCACCCTCGGGCCTCTCCCGTTGCTCGCCGACGAGAACGACGTGCGGAGATTGAGGTGGTTGGGTTTCCGGTGCCCGCCGCTCGATTCAACTGGAATGTTGTGCACGATCGGAGCATCAGGCAACGACCCCATGCAGATCGAAATGAATGGAGCGAGAGTGAGGTCAAAAAAAGAAGAAGAAGAAATAAATCGAGTAAGAATGATAGCAGGAAAAGGTGCTGATGTTGTTCGTGTTTGGGGAGATATCTTACGGGAGGCGTCATATTTATAAGGAAGGAGGAAGAGATCGATAGGGGAAGTCAATTACCTCTCTCTCTTCTTTGCTTCTCTTTGTGCGCTTCTTCTCTTCCCTTCTTCCCTTTTATTTCCCTTTCTGTGGGTTAAGATTTTGACGCTCATTCGATTGCGATGGGGAAGAACACACGAAAGAAGTGGCACAAGCGGAGCACAACAAGGCGGTGGAATTAGGGCTTGGATTCGGATCATATAACGATAATGCCACTGTGTGTTCTACTGTTTTAATGGGAAGTTTAAATGTGAAATTTTGTTTTCTTTTTCTTGTAATCTTTTCCTAAACAAAAATAAAAGAATATGAACCCTAGTAAAAGATCCCTCCCAAGTCACTACTTATTTTTCAGGAACAATAATATTTTGGAAGTGAATTATTTAAAAGATGATTAAATTTTAAAAAACATAATCTAAATTACTTCCAACATTTATAGCCGACCGAGACACGTGGACCATTTTAAAGTGAATTTACAAGCCACCCTTTATATGATCCTTAGACAGTTTGCGAAGTTGGCGGGTTTTGGATCCTGTAGAACGGGAGGTGTAATGAATCTAGCCGTCATCTTTGACTGAAACCACGTAACTGCCATCGATTCATCATAGCATGCACGTGCCAAGCTGGTCCATGTGAAGCACGAGAGCCCCGAGCTTCCAGAGTCTGCTCGTGCGAACACGGGAGTCGACGAAATGTGTTTTGGTCAATATATGGTCAACGCGTGGTTCCGCAAGCGGCCTCGTTTTGACCGCTGCTTCAAAAACAGCGGTCGATGGCTTCTCCCTGCTTTGACGTTCCAGAGAAATAGCATCTCTTTCTTCGGCCTCGTGAAAGCTTCCCAGCCAAAAACATAACCGAAAAGGAAAATGTAATTACAAAATCTATAAGTGCACATAATTATTTTCCTATAAATTAGTTGATGAATTCAATAACCTTCGACAATAATTTAATCTGAGTTATATTTTTTTTTACTTCCTTTTTAACAATAATATAATCTCATTCAGAGTACTCGAATAGTGTACTCTGGTTGAAGAGCAGAGGCCGAGGCTAAAACCACGGCGGCCTCTGTAAAACCCAGGCGTCGGAATCGTGCTAGGTCGGCGCTGCAGCGTCAAAAAGATGCCGCTCTTGCACTGTATCATCATGTGGTGCAACAGCAAAACCGGGTGCTTGAACGCAGGACGCAGCGAGACCAGGAACTGGTTTCCAAGGAAGCTGCACCGCTTTCGAGAAAGTCTCCGAGAAGCCATGACATGTTCGACCATGGCTTCCAGCATCCATCTCGAATGGACAAGAGCAGTGGAGGAGGATTCGGAGAGTCTGAGTGCTGAAGAAATAGAATAAGAAGACGCACACAAGATTCTTTGTAGGTATAGGTTGATTACAAGCATCAACAGATTTCGACATGATCAACATTTATGAATTAATTCTACAGCAAGATGAATGAGATCGGTGTTTTGTTTCAGAAAGCAACTGAAGATTAATGGTTAAACATCCACATCCCTCGACACCAATAGGAGATCGGTGTCATCCTTCATGTTGTTGTATTTTAATGATGCAAAGATCTAATTTGCTATTGAGCTTTTAATGCTTTCCGTGCTGCGGATCGACCGTCGGCGATGCATGAACATGACAACATCGTCACGTTCCGTTCGGCAATCAAACCAATCTAGGACTGTCATTTATAATCTTTCATTGTATTAGACACATGCAGCAAACTGATATATTAACTTAAATTCGAGCATCAACTCTTATCATAACTCATGAAAGAAAACATTAGGTCATGCAAGCAACTCTTAGAGAGTTGAATTTCTCACTCTGTAGTGAGAAATCAAAACTGCATTTGGTTCATTTATTATATACAGCTTACTGTTCAAAGTACCAGATAGATCATGATACAGCCATTTTCATTTATTAATCCTTTTGGTTGGCATCATTAAATTTCCATCAAGAAACACATTCATGACTTGGGTCGTTGATTCATATAAAGTTCAAACATTACATCGAAATGTAAGGGCTCAGTCGACAACATAGTAAAATCGAGCATCAATGCTAGACAGATAAGAGGACTGGAATTGGAATGAACCAGGAAGCAGTAGAATCACCAATTATTTCCATACGAATAAAGTTCATGAATCTACTTATTCTCATGCCGGTCAGGGCAAAGCAACACAAGGAAGAATACAGAGAGTGCTTTTTTGCTTCCCATCAAAAGCAAAGTTCCAGCCTAAATAGTGCTGGTAATTGATGCAGGAAAAGAGACCATTTTTGCACACTAAAATGCAGACAATTGGCTATGTGGATCAGAGTAGCCCATGGGCTGGTGGAAATGGAACCTTTCAACTGTGTCTCTTCCTAACAGTTTGTTCCAGACAACTCTGCTGGAGTTCTTAGTATTCTTGGGTGGAGATCTTTCATTATCATGTAACGCTTCAAACAATCATTGCAGTCACCGAGAAAAGCACACAAAAGATGAACTGACTGTTTAGGAATTTTCAACGTATTTTTGATCCAAAAACGATGCCAAGCTAATGGAAGTGACATCAGCCTGCATGCGGTTTCCTGGTGATGCCATGCTTTAGTGAGATCCTCATGAGCTCAGCCTCCTCCCTGTTCTGGTGGCTGTATTGATATCTAATGACCATTACGTGTGTCGAGCAATGTATAGTTCTGGTGGGGCATACGTACCCACTTTTCCTATGACGAGACTTGGATGGGAAGCATAGAGTGCTTGTGATTGAATGGTGCATAGAGAATGAGGCAGAAGAAGATTGGGAGGCCATATGGGAATTTAGAAGTATTTGCGTTTAGGCACACATCGGATGTGAGTTATGATTTGATCGATATATGAGTTACTATCCATCCCTACGACGTCCCTTATAATAATGGTTTCGATGATGATTGTGGACCACGTTAGGGTTTCGTGTGCATCCAAGTACTTGACGAAACTACGTCAAAAACAGGCCACAAACTCCTATGTGTAGTGCATCCTGTGGTCCTCTCGGCGCAGTTAACCAACTCTCTCTAACCTTCTCATGGCCGAGAAGGTCAGCTAACATGCATGCATGCATGCACACCCAGACCGTAACAGCAGATGTAAGCTGTTCCAGGGAGGAAAGACATGAATTGAAAAGGACCAACACATCAAGCAAGCTCAGAAGAAAAAGAGTACATGATGAAGTATCGGAGAAGCAATACCACTGGCAATCTTCTCTCACTTCTTCCTATGGGACACTCTCCCTGTGGATCGCAAATAAATCTCAATGCTGCTACGGGTGAAGATTCCATAACAGGCTCGGTGCGAAAGAAACAGGCAGAAACAAAGCATAACAGGATAGGGGCACAACTGGTGCAGCTCCTGTTCTCCGGTTCATATTAATGTTTTCTCAGTACCCTATACACTTTCCAGGAATATATATATTATATATAATTTGATAGGGGGGACTGCTTGTACTTGAAGCTTGCTTGGGCATGTGATGTATCATTTAATTTAGCATATTAAATTTGGGGTCCATCGATTGTCCGACTGCTGATGTGCCTTGAGAATGAAGCAACATATGCATCCACACCCAGACCTCTTTTTCCCTGCAAACATCCTTCCTCATGCCAAAAAGGATCATCATGTCAGCACTTCCCAGTACCCATGTGAGCTCCTATCTTCCTCTTGCCAATTCGATCCCCGACTTAGTCATCTTGTTTTCCATTATTTCTAGAAAGAAAAGAAGGCTATTGATCCAAAATCTTTAAGTTTACTGAAGAAATAGACATGTTTTGGTGGGGAACTTTGCTTAGGGGGACAAATCAGAGTTGGCTTTCTCTTTATATCTGTAAATCCCATGTACTAAGCTTACGTTTACGTTTTTTTGGTAACAGTGTTCAGTTTGGGTTCTTTGGAATGTGCTGTAACAGCCGTTTCCTGCTTTTGCTTTACTAGCTGAACCCTAAAGAAGACCTCAAAGGTAGACAGACCCTGTGTCTTTAACCCCTTGATTTAGCATAGTATCGAAGATGTTGTGTTTATCTACATGCTTGTTGCTAAGAGTCTTTTCCTTTTGCTCATGGGTTTCAGTTAAAGCATAAGGAATTCTGAGTTTTTGTGTGTGTGTGTGTGTGTGTGTCTCTCTCTCTCTCTCTTTTAAGAAGATTATTCTTGTAGATCATAACCCTAGTCTGGCTGGGCTTCTCCTTTTTCTTCTCTTCTCTTCTCTTCTTTCTTATTCTAGCATCTCCACTTACTTCCGCCTTTCGTTCTCCTTCCTTCCATACTCGCTTCTTCCGCTCAGATCTCCGGCTTTCGATCTGATTTTGATTCTGGAAAGCCATGCCTTTAATTGTTCCTTTTCTATGAGCTCGTTCTTTTGATGGTTAGCATAGTCGTAGTTTTCTTTCTTTTTTTTCCCTCCTCAGTTCTTCATCTTTTCTTCTTTACCTCTTTTTGTAATGAATTTAATCGGTGGTCTCTGTGGATCTCTATCCAGGATTTCTCAAATTGAGCTGCGGAAGTAGAAACCTGCTGCTGAGTTCTGAGAAGCTGATTCAAAGCCATGTTTTCGCTGGAATTGGATGCCAGTCATGGTGATTAGGACCTTGTCTTGAAGTTTCTACAACTCGGAGAACATCGACGCTGATGAAGCAGTCATGGATTTGAGTCATATCAGCAGCTCCAATCTCATCGACGCCAAGCTCGAAGAGCACCGGATGTGTGGAGCCAGCCAGTGTCCAAGCTGTGGCCACAGATTAGATCGCAAGCCGGTACGGTAATGTACAAGAATGGAAGCCACCGCGATATATATATATATATATCTAACTCACTAAAGACAGCAGTAACTGATACTCAATGAAGCTAAGAACGCATAGCTTCAGTTGTAGTTCTTCATCTACTTGCATTACTTGTTTCTGCATTTAATAAGAGCTTTTGAGATAAGCAAAATGAAGTTGAAACAGTTGTGGCATGTATGGTTGAGAATTGTAGGACTGGGTTGGGCTACCAGCAGGAGTCAAGTTCGATCCAACTGACCAGGAATTGATAGAGCATCTGGAAGCCAAGGTCGAAGCAGCAGGACTGAAGTCCCACCCTCTGATAGATGAGTTCATACCCACAATTGAAGGCGAAGATGGCATCTGCTACACTCATCCTGAGAAACTTCCAGGTTAGAGATCAAGTCACATTAACTATATTATTTTATGCTTCCTTCCTTCCTTCCTTCGTTTGTCCCAACACACACACACACACACTCTCTCTCTCTCTCTCTCTCTCTCTCTCTACTTTCAAAAGAAATATTTTCTGTAGAATGTCATATGTTGTTTTCTTTTGTTGGTTCAAATCTTTCTCCTTTGTCTTGAAATCTATGATGCTGCTAAGTGACGCCAACGTCTAAGAAGTAGTTGCATCTGACAAGAAAAACTAGGCTTGTGATCCGACATGGTCAGAGTTAGCTTCACTGCTCTCCGTGCATTTTACCTCAGGTGTGACGAAGGATGGCCTCAGCAAGCACTTCTTCCACAGGCCATCCAAGGCTTACACCACCGGCACGAGGAAGAGAAGGAAGATACAGACGGAGTGCGACCTCCAAAGGGGCGAGACCAGGTGGCACAAGACAGGCAAGACGAGGCCGGTGATGGTGAACGGGAAGCAGAAGGGGTGCAAGAAGATACTGGTCCTGTACACAAACTTCGGGAAGAACAGGAAGCCGGAGAAGACCAACTGGGTGATGCACCAGTACCACCTGGGGGAGTTGGAGGAAGAGAAGGAAGGTGAGCTTGTGGTGTCCAAAATATTCTACCAGACACAGCCAAGGCAGTGCCATTGGTCGGATAAGAATGCAGCAGCTGCAGCGACCGTGGAAGGGATGGACCAGAGGAGGGACAGCGGGAGCGGGAGCTGCTCCTCCAAGGAGGTCATCGGCCAGAGAGACGAGATCTCTTCTGGGCCTGTCATCTCAGGGTACGGCGGCATGGAGATGCGCCACCACCACCATCTCAAGCCCGATAACTTCAGCTTTTCTCCCTTCAGGAAAAGCTTTGAGGAGGTGAGTTTTAGATGCACTTGCTACATGAATTCCCGCTGTAAGAAAAAGAAAACTTCTATGAACATTAAGAATCTAAGCATGCTGAGAGGAATAGTTATATGATAAGGCTTTTCTAGTTTATTCACAAAATGAAAAGACAAAAAAGAAAAAAGGAAGACTTCACTTGGATCTTTGCTGATCTCATCTAAAGTGTCTCTGTGTCAAGTTAGTGCTTCCAAGGAAGGGCTCAGCCAAAAACTCCAACCAGTATTTATTTATTTATGATAAAAGAAAAGAAACAAAGTAATATTCAAACTTTCATTTGATCAATGCTTGAAATTCCTAAATTCTCTTTATCTTCTTAAATCAATGCATATGATTTGCACAGGAAACAGTTAGTCTGTGTACCTTGATATGCTCTTCATGCTCTAGTGTGTGCCGGTTGTTGAAGCTAGCTTTCACTATATGTTAGATAAACTGTCACATCAAAGCTTCCTCAAATCAGAAGCAACTCTAAGAAATCATGTATACTGATCATGATAGTAGTAGGTATCGAACTTTTCTTCATCTTGCTCACCATCCCTTAAAGAGGATGATAAAGAATGTGAGGAAAAATGACTGATAATAATAAATGAATCGAAGTAATTACAGAGAAAGAAAAAGAAAATTCAATTGAGTTGCAAATGTGTGTGTTATGGCAGCAGGCCAGCTTGGGAGAAGCTGCAGCCAAGAGAGGAGAGCATGAGCACCATCAGATAATCCAGGAACAGCAGCAGCAGCAAAGCCATGGCGACAGGAGCATGGCCTTGCACATTACGAGGCCTACAAACCTCATGTCTACCTTTGTCTCTCCTCCTCCGATCCAGCAGACGTCGATCGTTCTTGATGACCCCTATCATGTCTCTGTTCTTCAGGCTGACAAGTATCAGGTACTTTTGCATGACAAATTTATATACCATTTGGTATTAACTGTAACACATTGTGATTTTACATTCAGTAGAGCTGTAGAATGGAAAATGGAGAATTCACCTTACATATGAAATTGGACTCAAGTTGTTTTCTCAAGGAAACAAAAATTTGAGTCTTCAATATTAAGTTGATGGGTTAATCATCCCATCCTCACAACATAATGTTTTGTTCAAACAACTGATGATCAGCAATACATAATTCACCTTTTACAGGAAAATAATAACTTTTTTACATATTTTTGTGTTCTGACTTGGACCTGATAGTTTACTGGTTGGATGAACAACGAAAGTTCTGATGTTTTTTCTCTTCTTTTTTGTGGAACTTGGCAAATGGCAGCAGCAGCAACAACAACAGAAGCTGGATCACAGATCTACTTCTGGCCTGGAAGAATTGATAATGGGTTGCACTTCATCAGGCACAAAAGGAGTGAGTGTTCAAAACCCTAAATATATCCCCACCATGCGTTGACAATTAGCATCATCAAACTTTCGTCTCTCTCTAGACACAAAATATTCATTATTGGATTTTGCTAGCCATGCCCAGCTACGTGACATGACAATACTATGCCTATTAGAACATGGACAATCTTGTCTTAGCAATCGAGATAACAACATATTCTTCAGCAAGCAATTAGTAATTGTTAAGAGGGCATGCTACAGCTTTATTGAGCAACATAAGATAGTTGGTGCCATGTGGCTCCTGTACCAGTCTAATATGTGAATTTAGACAAACACATTGTAATCTTCTTCTTGCACTTGAATGGCTTAATTCAGAGAATCTAGAAACAAAAAATGGAATCTACCCAAGGAGGTAGAGAACCCCAAAAGATCAGCTTTGTTGTCTTTCTTGAATGTTAAACCAGAGAACAAGTTTCTTCTACTGTAGTAAAGGAAACAAGTTTAAAGAAAGAATAGACATTTCATTTGTAAGATTTGTCTTCTACTGTAGTACTTACTATCTATAGATTCATTCCAAAACTTCCTGATAGCAGCAACTTGCAAATTACTCCACTTGGAGCAGTATAATTCTGCCTTGACCTAAAAGTTATTCCCTGCATTTATTTTGAGAGGATGGAAAAGAAACAAGCAACACTTTTCCTTTTTCTTTTTTAGTAGCTACAGAAGACTCCCAGATGAAATGGCAATCTGTGCTGGAGAAATTTATGCTTCCTTGGTAACCTCTGCTGATGTCTATTAACCAATGTAGAATGAAGATTAACTTTCAAGTGTTCCAACATGCAACACCTGAATAGACAAAGCATTTCTTGTTCTAGCACAATCAAATGCTATTGTCTTTCTTTTCGATGCATCGATATAGATTGATCAGCCAGGATTTACCCCTTCAATTCTTACTCTTCTTGGCAGGAAGCACTAATTCCACAGACCCAAGAGACAGAATGGCAGTACTCATACTGGTCACCTGACAACCGAGATCATCATGGGTAATAACAAAGGGGAGGAAAAACCAAGAAAGAAAGGTAACAGAACATCATCATCATTATCATCAGTACATATACTTATGACGAAGTTACTCCAAGGAGCAGAAACTGGTGTGGGAAAAAAAGAACTGAGAAAAGAAAGAAAAGCAAACGTGTCCCCCCTCCCCCTCCCCCCGCCCTCCCCCTCCCCCCCCCCTCTCCTCTTCACCCGAGGAGGAGGTTCTCATAGGTCGCTGAAGGCGCATACGACTAATAATAACTCATTGTCCAATAAGCCAAGTTGGAGGGAAACAAAGTGACAAAGAGTGTTGGTGGAAAGAAAGAGAGAGAAGAGGGAAAGTAAAAGAGACAGAAGACAAGGGAAGCAAAAGAAAAAGACAGCTGCTGCTGTTTGCTGACATTAGAAGGGAATGCCAAAATGCCTAGAGAACACACATCAAAATCAGCACTCTCATCATTGCTAATATCACCCATCATCAACTTTCATTTGGTGTTCAAAGTATAGCAAATAACTACATTGACACACTTTTGTTCTCACTTTGTTCTTCATTTGTGGTTCTTTGGCTTATATGTTAGAAAAGAAAGCCAGAAGGGAAGGGAAAGCTTTCAAATTAATGTTGTAGCGTTTGTTATTGTTTGGAAATTAACTTGTGATTTTTAAGGGGTAAGAGTGAAGAATAATAGTCCTTTTTCTTTTTCTTCCATCAGCAATTGTGTAGCCTACATGTTTTATAATGAAATTTGAGGTGAGTCTTTGCTGATAGGATCCCAAGTGGAGTGACTTTGCTGATATTAGAGATAGAAATAAAATAAGAGTTATGTTATTTGCATTTGGTAAAACATGTGATTAACCTTAAAAACTTTGGTCGTTGTTAGGATCTTAGGGAAGTGTTTTTTTTTGCTTAGTCTTAGAGTTATTTGTATAAGTCACTGCTCTTTTTGTGATCTTACAGTAATATCAATAAATCAAAATTTATAGCAATATCATGTCCGACGACTCGTAAATCTACTTATTATTTTCTTCTATAATTTATAATATCTACAATTCTTTTGCTGATTAGTAAAGTTTTCTTTAGGTACATCTTTATAAATAATTCAATGTTTATATCCTTTCTTGAAAAGGATATTAAATGAAAACATAGAATTATGTCATTTTTTTCCCCTTGAAATCCATTTGAAACTCTCATGCTTTCTTGAAATTCTATGTATTTTCTCTCTTTCTATGGCCATTCAAATGATAATTTTTCAGTTGGATTTTTTTTTAATTTGCAGAATTATTATTATTATTATTTTGTCTTGCTCATCTTATAATATTTGATATTTCTTTTTCTAACACTAACTATAAATCATCACGTCTTATTGTAAGTGTTCTTATATTTGAAGTTCATTAGTTGCATCGTCTCAAAATAATACGATAACTTTTATGTTTTTCATCTCGACTCGGGATCGACATTAGCGGTGTTAGTTAGTCCATTCCCTAAGTACACAAAAAAAAAAGAGGAGCTTATTAGAGTGTTAGACCAATGATTTGAAAACATTTTAATCACATCATGTGAAATCTTTGCGTCTCTATGTATCAATCAATGTCTTCTTCTTGAGTGGCTTTAACAAAGCAGTCTACTCCCTCTAAAAACCACCAAGAAAAAGCAGCAGTCGTCCTATGACTGCTTACAAGTAAAGAACTCTCTTCTCTGTTGCACCCGTTGGTACAGCTTTCCCACTTGAGTGTTGGAGCGCACACTGTTCTCTTTCCGACTCTTTTCTTTGCTTTGGACATGAAAGAAAGAAAGTTGCCTAATGGAACCTTCTGTGAAGTTTCACAGCAGAAGGAATAAAGTGGTCATCACATAAAATTACACAACCAGCCTCCTCCTGCTTCTTCTTCTTCTTCTTCTTCTCCTTCTTCTCCTTCTTCTTCCATACATCACCTCTCTCCCTCCCACTGCCATTCAAATTTGCTTCATCAGATGCTAAAGATAGATCTTTCGCTCCCTCCCACTACAAAAAGAGGGAGTCGCATCATTTGACCGTCAATATATTGCAATGGTTCATGCAATTCCTGCATCAAAGAGTTGCTCATCAGCTTATGCGCGACCAGGACCAATACCGGATCATGTAAGGTCAATCATGCTGAGAATCCCTACACTTGAGTTCCAGGATCCTTGGCCAGATAAAGGAAACCGCTCGGTGGACGTAAGGGGAATAAGATCCAGCGGAGCATCTGTGTGCCCACCACCTGCGGAGGAGGCAGAAAAGAAGGCCATGTCTTCTTCACTCCCTCCGAAAAGCTAACCTTCATCTCTTTCTCTTCATGGGCGATTCTGGATGCTCTTCGAAAGGTGCGGTGAGGCCATCTTACCGCTCTCATGTGAGCATTCGGTCCCAAAAAGAAGTTGCAGGAGGAACTGTGCGGTGGAGGGAGAGAATAATAGAACATGGCCTTCCTTTTTGGATTCTCTTCCTTTCAGAATGATTCTTTAGTTATCACCTCGATTGCTCCATAACACCATATTCATATATGATTTCAGAGTTAGGCATCATAATCTCAGATCTGTCTTGAAGACAAAAAAAAAAAGAAGAAAAACTATGAGTAATGTTGATCAAGAAAACATAAATGGAGAATCATGTAACATTTTTTTGGTGCTGCATCATTTGGTAATCAGTAGAAACAATCATGTTCTTGTTATTTGGCAAAAGGATTATTCCTAAAAGTCTTAAACTATAGTAGCAAATGATTCATAGAATTGTCATGTTGATCCAAAAATAAAAATAATGATACAAGCGAAGCCAAAGGGCGATGGCACAAAAGCCGAATAAGGATTGGATTTAGCCTGACTTTGTGGGCAGGCCAACAGAGGCCCATTTTGATAATTTTCCAAGTAATTCATCAACTTATAAAGATGAAGATGTCAATCTCTATTTAGCAAAAAAAATTGGATATGGTCATTATAACTCAAAGCCTTGAAAATTCTCATGATAAAAAGTGCTACAATTAAAATTTTCTCTAAAATGTTCTCATGATTTTTATTTAAAGGTCATAGCAGGCTGCACGAACTGCAAAATCCAGATCAGGAATAGGGTAAAGACAGCATGTGGTTGATGGAATGTCAAAAGAAAAATTATGGATGATGTTTTATTAGAAAATAATATTTGGTTATAAGGACAATTGAGGCCAACATGAGGGCTCGTTTTATCGATAATTTAGAAAAATTATTATGAGATCATTATTTTCTTTATTTGGATCACATTCCCTATCCTACTCTAATAGTAATAATAATAATAATAATAATAATAATAATAATAATATCTTGAGCTTTGAGGCTTAATCTTCTCCTCAACCTAAGAAGCTTTCAACCAACGTATCTTTTGTCAATATTGACGGTACAATTATTATAAAGAGGTATGACTTATGTTAGGATTGAAAAGATAGGAAAAAGAAAGCATATAACATATGTTAAGCCCAACTTACAACACCTCTATTAAAATAAAAAATAATAATTCTATTCTTTGCCTTTAGCATTCAAATCTTGGTCTCTCCTTTAGCGATGAGAATCCTTATCATTGCGTAAGAAATTACTTAGTCTTGAGATTGATATAGCTTATACACAAAATATATACTTGCACGTAAAATATCTCTATTGCAGATAGTATATCTATTCAAGATTTAAAATAAACATTGAAAACGTCTAATAAAATCGACCAGGCGAGAGCATCCTCTTTGTACATAAAGCTTCCCCCTATTTTGTTAAATAGTTGGCCAAATATCTCTTATCAATTATAAGTTCACCTATGATAAGAATGAAACAAGTGAGACATATAATTTCTACCACACGACTAAGAAGAGATGTGAGATATATACGTTTTCTGTAGTCGACACTATAACAAAAATATAATTTTACATTTAACTACAGTAAGATGTATTTTTCTGATTAAGAATAATGGTAATAATTACTGTTGGGGAACGAATGTGTCATGATTAATGAGTCAGCACAGCTTGATCCACGGATCGATGTTGGGAGCCTCCTGTCGGCTGAGTTGGTTGTCGGAGCCGACTAGATCCTCGAGTTGAGGGGTGGGTTGGTCGATGGCTCGCCATGGGGGCACCGATCCGTGACTCCCGAGGTTGGGCTGCCTTCCTGTAAAAATGGCATTCGTCGGGTGGTCTCCGATTTTGGCCCCTCTGACGAGCAAGTCAGTTGTCTCTTTCTTTTTTTCTCTCCCTTTTTGGAGGCCGAGATAGAGGTCTTTATACTGGCGTGAGAGAGTCGGTCGTACGTGGATTGACATGGTGGACACAGCACGACATTAATACGGATTCTGACTTTGTGTGCGGGGTGTTGCCGTCCCGAGATTACTGGGACCAGACGTGTCGAACAGTATCTTGGGGGTACAAGTTCTGACGTGACATATGATATCAACTGTGACGTGTCTGCGAGGCAAAACATGCCTTATCAGTTACCATCGTAAAAAAGTAAATATCTACATATTATTACAGTAACTCAACCACAATAATAGATTGTTTCACCCCACAGTCGTCAAACATAGTAATAGATTATATTTATTTTGTTGTGGTGGGGATGGAAGTGAGATGGTAGTAAGAGTATATGCATTTTTCATCCTCAAGTGAAATGGTTTTTTATTAGTGTGAACATTTTATCTATCTCTTTCAGACTGGACGACTTCTTCTTCTATTCCGATTATGGATTATATTATGAGATAAACGTTTTACTATTGTGATAAAATATAAATACTTTACAACGTTGGTTTGTGGGTCGCTTTAAAAATAATGTCGGCCACGTTTCTCGCCACGCTCACATTGGCGGTGGGCCCATTCCTACAGTTGTGCGGGATTTCTGAACCGTGTCGGATTCCTTCCACTCGTTCTTGACTTGTCCGTCTCACCGACTCGACTTGTACGACGGCGATATGACCAATGGGACCCACTTAGGCTGATCCATGGGACGCCCGTTCAGCCCGTCTACGGCGGGTGAACCCGGCGGGGTGTCCTACTAATTGGGAACAAGTCAAAATTAGGCCCACGTGGCTCGTCAACGATTAAGCGTCGGAGACCGAATAAACTCCAGCATTCTTCTCCCGGTGCCGTACACCAATCAACTACAACCACGTCACGTCATTTAGGTGCGCCGACCAAAGTTTTCCTCGACCACGACGCCACCATCGCCTCCTACGAATTGCCCACTCCTCTATAAATAACAACAAGGCTGCCATTACCCTCTTCTCGAAGTGAATCTTCGTCTCTCTTCATCGAAGGAAACCGTAGCGCGCACGAAACTGAGAACGAAAGCGAGAACAAGAACCACGAATACAGGGTTAGGGTTAGGGTTCTGATCCAATGGGGCCCTTCCGATTCCTTCTACTCTTCTTCTTCCTCGGGGTCGTGGCCGCCGAGTCACCCCAAACCATACTCCGGACCACGACCCAAGCCGTCGCCGCCTCCGCCTTCGCCTACGACCACCTCTACTGCGACAGCTGGAGGCTCTCGGTGGAGACCAACAACGCCAGGTTCTGGCGGACGGTCCCGTTCCGGTGCAGCGAATTCGTGCAGGAGTACATGAGCGGCGCGCGGTACGCGTCGGACACCGACATCGTCGTGGATGAGTCGCTGGCCTTTGCACGAAGCGTCCAGATCGCCAATGACGGGAACGACGCCTGGATCTTTGACGTCGATGAGACGCTGCTCTCGAATGTACCCTATTATGCCATCAACGGATTCGGGTATATCTTTGTATTTCCCTTCCTTTCGTCATATCTTCTTTTTGTTAGTGTTTAGTAGAACATTGATCGGAGAAAATCACGGTGATTTGAAGATATATTTGTGTAGAGTTCAATTCGAATTGATCGACACATGTTTTATGTGATCAGCTGTGGAGAAGAATAATATGTTGAGAAAACTCCATCGAGAACAGAATATAAGATGTTTAATTTATCTGATAAATTCATGTGAATCCTCTTGCATGTTGGTACCAAATTTCCGGCCGTTACGAATCTATGAACTGAGGATCGTATTAAAAAACAATCTCAGTAACAATCAAGCTCATAAAACAGAGTATCTCAATATTTTCCTGGACATGAAAGGGGTAGTAGATTTTGTCAATGGCAGTCAATTTTAATCAGACAATGTAGATTATTTGTGGAACTTAAGGATAACTAAATAGCATTATGATCAACACCAAGAACATTGAAATTATGTTATCTGGAAGCCTCTTCTATAGTTATCAGTTTAGCATCAATGGGAATATTGGAACTCATATATCCCAATGAAGTGGAATAACCATATTTGAGCTTGATCATTATTCTTGAACACAGTTGATGATTGTTGCCATTAAAATTCTTTGCTTGATGGCCATTGGCAATGGTTGGCTATGTTAATAGTAGTTTTGTTATATGGAATTGTGGTGGCCTTATTGAGCTACCTATTGCAATCTGATTCGAAGGGATCAAATAAGAATTCTGTGTCAGTTCTCTAGCTTGTCTAGATTTAAAACCGGTTAGGTCTCCACGCTCTTTTTAAATTTTCACCTGAATATTTATTTTTTTATTAGAGGAAAGATTGATTGGGTTGGAGTTTATGTTGGTTAGGAAGGTGTTGTCAAGTTATTGGGATATGTATAAATTTATTGAATTTGGTGCCTTAAAGAGAAATAAAATCAAATTATAATATCAAATGATGTAAATAGAAAGAATAGAAAAGCAAACATATGATAGGCTTAAAAAATATATGTTTTGTTTAATTTTCCTTTCATATGTGTCAACTTTTACATATTTTGTATATGGTTTGTTTTGAGTAAGACATGATGAATTCTTTATGGAAAAAATTTATCCTTTCTTAGGCCTAATGGTCTTGACTATCTTTACCTCTCTTTCTCATTAGTTTATCTAAATTTCTGAATCTATTCACAGCTTATACCCCCCCACCTTTTCACTCTAATGATATAAGTTTTTGTTACATTTATTCTATATTGCATTAATTTGTTGCACCAAAGTATAGGTGGATTACTATCCCTCTCCATTATTGTATTACTACTTGAACATCATACAATTATTATCATTATTATTATTGTAATTACTATCATTATTATTAAGTTGTATTTTGTTCTTTGCACTATCTAGAATCAAAACTAATTCTGTTTGCTTTACAATTTCGTAGAACAAAGGTCTTCAATGAGACTTCATTCAATGAATGGGTAGATAAGGCAAGAGCACCAGCTTTAGCAGCAAGTCTAAGGCTGTATGAAGAGCTCTTGGTTAGTGGTTTTCAGATTATTCTGCTCACTGGCCGAAATGAAGCTCAAAGGAAGGTCACTGTGGAGAATCTATTGCACGCTGGGTACCATTCTTGGAGAAGTCTCATATTTAGGTTCGTTAATTTAATGGTCTTCCGTTTAAATGGTTCTGTTTCATCTCTTACAATCATTGTAGCACCAGATAATTTTAAAAGCTTCAAAGGACATGCAATCTGAAGAATAATCAGTTTAAACGGAACAGCAAAAACTAGAAAATTATTTTGGTTCTTATTGATAATGATGTAAATAGCTTTATGAATATAGGAAAAAAATCAACTTTATTAGCACCTTTTTATTAGCGCATAAGATTGGCTTTTGAACTATGCTTGAAGCAACTTCTCTTTGTTTTTTAGTATGGTTGAAGCAATAAATACTGTGTCAGATAGGTTTTATTGGTAAATAGATTTTGTTTTTGTGGCATCCGACTTTTGCTCCAATGAGTTGATACATTAACAAGCACTGTATAAGTAAAGTATGATATTTCAGTGTCATCTTAGTTTAGAACTGAGCTAAATAGAAGCTGTGAAGTGTATGTTTACTAATAACTTAGGAAACAAGTCTTTCAACATAGCAGAGATATTCCCAGTTCTATGGAGTCTTTTGGATCAAGGTTGCTACTTTTTTCTAATTGTGCAAAAATCCTAGTGGGTGGTGTATATGTATGCAAAAGTTTGCTGCTTATAATCGTGTTGCGCGCTTGGTTTCTTTTCGATTTGTGTGAATTTTCTATAAAAGTTGACATGTTAACATAGATTTGACATGTTGGTAAGGATTCTAATAATCTTGTTGTATGCTTGATTTCTCTTGGATTTGTTTGAATTTTCTACAAAAATTGACACCCTAAATAATCGGCGCCTAGTTGTTTTTACATTTTGCATATTGGTATGGATTCTCGTAATCTTGTAGGATGCCGTGATCAAATTTTCTGTTAGGGTAGGCATCTGAAATAATTTTGTACTCCGATGCTTATGGATTCTGCACCTGCAAATATCTATTGAAATTGTGGTGCGACAGGGAGGACTCTGATATGGGCAAGCCTGCGGTGGTCTTCAAATCAGGAAGGCGGGCAGAGTTGGAAGGTCAAGGATTCAGGATTCTGGCATCCTCAGGGGATCAATGGAGTGACTTGCTGGGGTTTCCGATGGCCCAACGATCTTTTAAACACCCAAATCCCATGTATTATATCGGTTGATCTACTGATCTCTGACTGACCGACTGCTTGATTGATTGGACATCTCACCCTCAATGTAAAATGCTTTCCATGATAGAATCTTCTATGGATACAAGTATGTCCGTAAATTGTATTAATGCTCTATTGGATCTAAATCATGAGCAAGTCAAAATTGTTCTTAGTATCCTGCAGACCGAACAAAGGTGCAAGTGAAATTGTATTATTTACTCTAATATGACCTTGTTAGTAGTTGATCACAGGTGTCGTAATAAGAAGTGAAATTACGCACATATTGGCTATTTTCTAATTGCCGCCGGCTAAATAGATTCCACTTTTTAACAGGGCTCAGAAATGTACATGTTGGTAAAGTTGCATTGCTCATAGTTAAATTGATGTTAACCCAAGTCCAGTTTACGAAGACGGACAGACATTATGTCCGACAGTCAAAAGGCCATTCAATTTCACAATAACACGATTTAGAAACTGTGGGTGTTTGAGATCCAATGAATAATTCGACAGAGAACACAACAAAATTAGCAAATCTAACATTTTGCTTTCCAAATGAAAGCATAATGATGGGGATTTTTTTGTCACCCGAGAACTCTTCTGATTGAATTGCACCGCAACATTGATGGCGTTCAAACTTTCTTAAGAATGCGTACATCATATTTGCTGTGGCCAAGTCCTGCTCATGGAGGATCACCAATCAATGGGAAAATATAAGTAACAGGTGGGAGAAAGTTTCGATGATGTAAGTAGCTTTAAAGATAATGTTCTTAAGCAACAGTGCAAGAATCTGATAATGTTTACAAAAATTTGATAGGATCGTCAAATTCTCTCCTACAACAAGAGATACTACCATGGTAACATGTAACGCTGACCAAATACTGCATCAATCTGAAGAGAGACAAGTCGGGGATTCACAGGTCGGCAGAAAGCTCTCATAAACTAAAGCATTTAGCAAAACTATTACTTCCTAAATTCAATTGCGTTATAAGTTTTGATGATGGGAAACAGTGCTGCCCAATCTTTCCTTGATATATAAGAGAGCATCTTAAGCCATATCTGAATTGCAATGCTCTTGAACTGGCCACGTTTCACAGGCACAGATAGAAAATTGATCTAATTTGTTTTATTTGCAAAGCAGTAGCTTCTGTTACAACACCATTTATAGTTTAAATCCATACAACGGTGAAGCAGAAAGGCAGAAGGATGTCATTCATACCTCAATTATATCATCACAAAGCCACAGCATAGCTCTCTTGCTTCATTTTCATTAGGTTGTTCTCTATGTCTCGCAGTACAGGTCTATACCTGCACAAAACAAGGGAAACAATTTACTATGGAAAAAAAAAAGGATGAAACAAAGCTGGAGGGGGTAAAGAATAAAGCACTACAGGCGTATGAGTGTGTTATATGCTTGGGCAGCACGTCTGTGCTCAGCAGTGAGTTTCATAACCTCTGCAGCCAATGCGTCACCTCTGCTCTGTTCTTTTGCCAACTGATCCTAGAGCAAATGAACCAAGAAAAAAATGAGTATTAGTGGATTCCAACTAATATGTCCATGATGACATATCAATCTGTATGTCACTAATATAACTTACTGTTGAATTAGCACAGGTAATCAAATGATATTTTAGGTATTTTAGCAGGTCATTTACAACATTTTTGGTGCTAAAAATATCAATATGAACATTCTAATAAATATCTTTAACTGTGCCAATATCCTACAGAGCACATCCTATCAGAACCATCCTGTGACGAGTTACATGACTGACCCACACAGCTCAGTACAAACTACCAAGTGCTACTTGAGTTCAAAAGACTTCATGAAAAAGAATGTTTATATGAGTTTTAGATGATCACACTTTAGCACCTCGCTCATGCGAAAAGCGGGAAAGAAGTCTAGAATATTTTAAGATCCAACTATCATACTATAAATAATTAGGAGCACATATTACACTACCATTATATTTATTATTTCAATAAATTTGCAAATAAAGATATGAAAAACTAATATTTAAATTGTGTAGACTATAATACATTTTTCTTGATAAAACTGATGCACTATATAAGATTTCATAGTGGAAAATATAGAGCATATTTTGGTTTTTCTAGAAACTCAAGTTTCCAATAATGACATTCTCAATCTTACTCCAACAACTAACCTTAAGTGACAAATTTTCAGAAGCAACTTCTGATGGGTCAGATGTTCTCCCTTTGTCACCTTCAACATCTGATTGAATATTGCTATCACTTGTTTGCGATGGGCTGGCTTGTTCAGACCTGAGTTTGTCAAGCAGGTATCGAAGCTGTTCATTTTGTTTCAGACAGTCCTTCACCTGTGAGCTACATGATTAGGACACTGACCCATGCACATGAATCACCTACCAGTTTCATCCATATTCTAAGCACGATAAGCTGTCAAAGTATAAGAAATGAATATCACGAAGGAAGCTTTACTTGCTCAGTAACGTTATTGTTTTCATGAAAAGTGAAAATCTTAATTATCTTTGCAACGTAGCCAAAGCTACATCTTGATACATCTCAGATAATGACAGGCAAATGGACTGAACCATCCTAAATACAATAAAACAATCTCTGTGAAAAGTAATAAAGTTCAATCTGAAAAAGATGACACTAAAAGTAGATCTAAAGAATATGATATTAATGTCCCTTAAGGTGAAAAACAATGTTCTCATTTTCATGAATGATAACCCTGCAGAAAGGTTGGTAATAACATAAATATTTTGCAAAACACATATGCTTTGGCAAAATGTATGCATTAATAAATTAAATGAATGGACATGGCTTTTACATGCTTTAACTGATATGACAACATCCTTGAGGTAATAAGACACCCCTAAGCCAAGGTACTCAAAATCACATACAGCAAAAGGACCAATGTATGATGTTGTGTCAACATATGCAAGTCAACAACTTTGTGTTATGAAGGAATGTAGGCAAACGAGATGACTAAACCAAATAGAATAAGAGGAATGATGAAGACTCTGCTCCTTATTTACAATGACAATATTGACAGTGATTTGGAGAAATTGATGGATTACTTAAGAGTAACCAAATATAAGCAGCCTTTGTCATAATAGGAGAAAGAAAACTTATCCAGGAAAGGAGAATAAGATGTACAATACCACAGATGAAAGAAGTGGAAAATTGATAAATCCCAATTGAAAATAGGAAATGTAGCCCTTGATAAATGTTTAACAAATACATCCTAAAGTCCCAGATAGATAGGATCATGTATTATACTTCTTTTATTATGATGCACCATTTAAACAAAGATAATTGTGATATACTCAATTAAAAAGTTACTGTCCACTCATTTGAGCAATACAGTGTACCTGGTTCTCCCACTGCACTGCTAGCCCCATTGCTTCCTGATATGAAGTTGACAAATTGGAGTTCTCCTCAAACAACCTCTCTATCTCTGTAGACTGAGAATCAATCTGCCGAGACAAGATGGACATAGTAAAAAAATGGAAGTCTATGCTAATGCACAAGAAGAAGAAATACCTCCATCAGTCGTTTCTGTCTACGCTAATGGATAAGAAGAAGAAATACCTCCATCAGCAGTTTTTGTCGACTGCTTTCAAGTCTCTCAACCATAACTGCCATATCATGCAACTGCTTTTCAAGTTTCTCCTTGTCCTGATGCCAAAGACATTGACATAGTAGATGCAATACTAAAATAGGTAAAGAATACTGGGAAGTAACATACAAGGACTAGGAAGAACAATAAAGCATCTAATTAACGGCTGTGGTGGTTATATAAAGGAATAAATCAGAAGTCATGCAACATTTATGTTTTCATTTATTTGATGGCATAATATAAAAGATTTATTCTAGTGAAACCACGAGAATACAGCAAAGCAAGTGAAATGAGAGAAGCAGCCAGAAAATTGGGAACTTACTAACAACTAACAGTTTCATGCTCAAGTATTACACCAAAACAAACTTTGGCATGAAAATCAGCCTATAAAAGCCGATCCCAGGTTAAAAATAAACTGAGATGGGAAAGTATAATAGACCGACAGTGAAAAGAAAATGTTATACAAATTAAGTGAAATGATAGATCAGGTGATACATAAGGAAGATTTGACCTTAATGTCTAAAGAAAAAAATTTGTAAATAATTATAATATTAAAGAAAAACTCTCGTGAAAGACAACCATCCAATGTGGAAAGCATACTGACTTGAAAATTATGGAAAAGCATATTGACTTGATAATTATCTTAAAGAAAAACACTCATGAAAGACTACCATCCAATGTGGAATAGAAAAACCTTGGAAAACAACTTATACACTAATAATACTAGCGTGAAAAACTATCCGAACATGCATTAATTAAACAGAAACACATACAAAAATAGCCTTGGTACAAGATAATAAAAGTGAAACAAATGAACACGTATTAGCCAACAACTGGCTTTCACTTAAATGTCAGAAGAGGCCAAAAGAAAACAAACATTGAATCATGTGACACAAATGAATACGTGAACATAAAATTGTTCTCTTGTTCAATTAATTATAGCATGAAACAAACTATATAGGGATCCTCAGAATTTGTGATTTACCACTGAAATTGCCTTGCGCACAGCTAAATCTGAAGCATTTTCTGCACCCAAAGAAGATAAACATGGTGAAAAATATTGTCAAATAAAAAGCACCATTCTATAACACCAAAAGAATACTTCGCACTCATGTGTTTGACTAGTGGTTCTAAAATAAAGTGATTAAAATTTAAAAACACACTTGGTCTTCTCGTGGATTATAAGAAAACATCATTTACTTGGGGGTACCTGAAATCTTCTTGGTGAAAGATGCAATTTTATCTTCCAGCTCTTTCTTTTCAGCCATTAGGGAAGAACTGCGGAACTGTTCTTCAGATAGTTTCTGCTGCTCTTGTTGTCTCCACAGTGAGATGTGCTGTATTAAGCAACAAAACAACATATGGGTTTAAAAGATTAAACTATCGATTAAAAATAAAATTGTTAAAGAAAGAAATACATACATACTTACCTGTAACTCGGTTTTCAATTCCATTATTTCCTTTTCCAGGGAAAGAACATGATCTGGTGAGTTACCTAATGGGACACTGCTAAACGAAGTCCCTAGACCTTGTTGTTGCAGTGAATTTAATTCTGCTCTTAGAGCTGCAGCATCCTGTTCAGCCTACTGACAAAAGCAGTATCAGTAGTTGAAACATTTTGATTCCAACTCAACAATCATAAATTACATACTCGGTATTGCTCCTCTTCTGCCTCCTTTAATCGTTTCTTAATGGTCCGAAGTTGGGACAAAGCATCTTCCTACATAAATATTCAAGTGCTAATTGAATAATCAATATTAATCATTATAGTAAAGTAGTTATTTCTAGCCTAAAATTCAATATCGAATACCCTGGCAACAATTGCTGCATCTTTTTCAATGGAAGCATCCTTCAGAGACTTTCTCAAGGAGGGCAAGCTATTTTGTTCCTGTAATAGATGAACCAAAAGGAAACTAAAAGGTTAACACAATTTTGACATGTTATTAGGATACATGATCTACAATATAATATGTAACCCAGAGTTGTTTTACCAGATCACTTAAGTGCTTCCTCAATGAATCAATTTGAACTTCCTTTTCATCAAGCTGTGAACATAAATTTTTTGCATGAACTTTCTTGGTGCCTATCATAAAGGAAAAGTTATTTTAGCAGAATACCGTCGCTAACAATTTCTGATTTTCACTCTCAAGTTCTGAATTCTTATTCTCAAACTCCTTGATTCGAGATGCCACTGCAAAAGAATCTCTCTGCACATGAAACAGAGAAACATCTAGTCAACTTTAAAATCATTTGACTATGAATAGATGCGACTAGAACTTCAAAAACTATCTGCATTATCTCATTTCTAGAATGATATGAAAGCATGCTTACTTTGGTATAATATAATTATTCAACACAAAAGGTGGTATCCTATACAAAGGAAAGTAATTTTTAAGAGTTCTGCAGAGTCATATTGAGATATGTATATTGCTATACAGACAATGAGTTTAAAATCAGCTGATTCTGATAATTCATATCCTCAAACTATGATTATTATGAAGATCTCCATGTACAACGATTGTAGGTTAAGAAATATCACTGTATCAGCAGTTTTGGGTTTCCAAATTTCAAAATTAACTCATAAAGTTAAAGGATGGCATCGTGATGGTAAAATATCATATTTTCCATTTACAAATGTCAAAATGTCAAAATATCATAGTCACCTAAGAAGCATAAAGTCCAAATTTCAAAAACTAGTCAAACAAAGTTTTTCGACCTACGATATTTTCAAGTGGAAGATGGAACCATTAAATGGGCAAGTGATGGTAAAAAACCTCATCTAACGTAATAGAGGAAAAGAATAAAATAATCAACAGAATAAATCAAAAGCAACCATCAATTATACAACCCAAAATGACCTCACCAAGTTGGTGAAAACTTAAGACTCAGAAAGATAGGAAAGAAACAAAGTGATTGAAAATCAGCCATGACTCTTAAGAACTATAATTGTATTTTCTTTCTCAGTCCACAAGAACGATGTGGATCACTCTTCATATCTATGAACTTTTCCATTTACTTGATAATAAAATAATCTTTCGACAAACTAGTCTTAATCAGAAAAGTGATGAAGACCAACTACTGAACATACTCGTCAAGAATTATGGGATTTAACACTTTCTTTTCAGTTGAATCCTTCTAGTTCATTTTCCATTTATCTCTCTCTCTCTCTCTCTCTCTCTAAAATTTTGTCACAGCAAAAATAGTCACCTCAATTTATTATAATCATCATTCTTTATACCTGTGTGCGTGCTCTAAATTAAACACAACCGCAACATCAAAAACAAACAAACAAACAAACAAAAAAAGAAGAACTCGGCGGACACTGAGATCATTGTGAAAATAAGCCCAGAATCCACTGAATCAAGGAAAATTAGGAGAAAAATTATATAAACCTCTAGAGGCATCGATCAAGAGAAGATGTAACAAAATACAATGTAGAACTTGTACAAAACTGATAGAATAAGATGGCATCGTTAGGTATCAAGTAAAAGACCACAAAGAAGAGTAACCTCGGCTGTCGATCGGACGCCGCCTTCTGATCTCTGCATGCCTGCAAAACGCGAAAGCGAAACAGCAACTCTCCAGAAATAGAGAAGGTAACGAACGATTAGGGAAAGGGAAAGACGAGGGAGAGCGAAGCACACCATATGGATTGGCGGATTCGAGATCCGAGCCAGAGGGGACCTTGTGCAATCGCTCGGCCGCTCGCTTCTGACGGATTTCTTCCAACTGGAATGGGAACAAGGAACCGTTGCAGATCTGGAGGGAGAAAGAAGAGAAACGAGATGGGGAGGGTGGAGGCTTAAGAGATTCAGTACCGTTCGTCGACCGCGGGATTGAGCATCCATGGCGACGCGAGGGGCCAGCGGAGAGAGGAGCGGCGAGATTGGGCTCGATCTCGTCGACCGAGTTCTCCTCCTGTTTTTGGTTTTTTTTTTCTCTTTTCTCCTCTGATGCGACCGCAGCCAACCCGATTTAGATTTTGTTGCGTGTTTCTTTCTATTTCTGTTTGTTGTTTCTTATCTTTGTTTTCCATGAAAACAGAATTCGACGGAAACACGATTCGTAGAAACTTAACGTTGTTTCTGTTTTCAAATTTTGAAAACGCATTCGTCATCTTCGAAATTTTTCTGCAGCCTAAAATGTTACGCCGCCTCATACGACCAAAATGTTGTCAGTCATATATTCAAATATTATTATTTTAGACAAATTCCTTTAAAATGTTTCACGTTTCCAATTTTTTCTGACAAAACGTTTTTCTTTTTATTTTTTTCTATTTTTTTTTTCTGACAAAAGTTTCACGTTTCCAATTCATTTGGTCATTCTCTGTGATGACCCCTTCGCCTCGCTGCCCCATCGTAGTCATCTCTCTACGCTACTCATGCTCCATTGTGAGTTGCCTTTCACATTCTAAGGTTTTCATCATCATCTCATTATATTCGTCATATTATTTGAGCATGTCTTATTTATTATGGCCATTATCATTATCCACTAGTCTCTCATCGTTACCCCTATCTCCAAGGACAACGAGGGATAGATGGTGCTAACAACATGGGAACGAACGAGATGAAAATGTACGAAGGAAGCAAGGGATAAACAAAGAGTGAAGCTATGAGCACTATCCCTCACCCATTCTCAAACGGTTAATGGTCACGCTATCCTCCTGTTCCTTATCTCCCCTTCTTGGAGAAGAGATGATGGGAGAAACAACAAGAAGATTAGTCGATATGTGAAGAGGTATAACGGACAAAGATGATAGCTATATGAAGGGGGTGGAAGTGACCATGCGAAGGCAATGGGATCGAGGTCATGAGGACGATGACGAGGACCTCACGGTAGCGACAAACAGCTATAGCAATAATATCATCTTTTAAAAAATAAATATTATTCTACATAAATAAAGTAAAAAAAAAAAGAAAGATCTATAAGAAAAAAAAATAAAAATTTAGATTTTTTTTAAATATGTTCTATTATTTTTGTGAAAGATTTTTTTTAAATTATGACCCAGGGGAAACAACCAACTGGTTAATTTTGAGAGAACTTTCGAAATCTTACTGTCGAAAGACAGTTAATTAGTCGATGTCTCTTACGTTTACTTGCAATTGATTAAAACGATGGAAAAAGAGTGAAATTTGACGCGTTTTAATGTCACATTATCTCTTCAAGTCTAATGATTGTTTTCGTGAAGATACGGATAATTAATATGACGCATCAGTTTAACAGGTTCCGAGAATGAACCCAGTGGATGTTTGGTAAGCCAGCGTCAGATCTACGTTCATCATGCTTTGAGATTCGGTCTTGATGTGGTGAAAGATGCCGGTAGCCTGTTCGTGAAAAGCAAGCCAAGAAGAATGATGCGATCTCTCGATGTGGTCGGATTCATGAGCTGTTCGAGCCTATTCTACGGCGCCACTAATCGGATTTCACACTCATAACGTGCGAGGCACACGCCACAGCCAGCCACGCGCCTCAGCCGAACCCAACACATGGTGGGGCCCATAGAACGAGAGGTCAGAGGCTCGACACCGGGGACGGGCTTCCCCAGTCAAACAGTTGCCCCCCCACCAGTAATATTACGATCGAAGTCACAATTGACCGGAACAATGTCAATCGCAAGGTCTCTCGTAGTTGGACTGGTTGAGTCAGGCCTTCAGGTTGCGTTGGCATAAGGGGTTCACAAGTTCCAACAACAGCTCGAACGTAGTAGGTATCTTTCTAGGAAGCACCACCAACACAATTATATATCCTATGATGTACCCATATTCATATATAAAAAAATAATATCTTAGTAAAAATATTTCACAAGTGGGCGAAAATGATGTCTATTTATATAATTCGAACGCATAAAGTTAGAATAAAAAACAGTTTCTTCCTTCGATGACGCCGCATCCCAGCATTGACTTCAACTATGCATTCTTTATGCTCGTCATGCCCATACGACCGGAGACTCGTCTCCTCGACTGAGTCGGGGTTGGCGTCGTTATCCTTATCTCTTCCGCGTACAGTTGTCCGTGCGTTCGATCTCTTCTTCCGCGGACGGCGCTAGTAACGGTGCCCCTTCGTAACCCCATATGAGACCCGCAGCCTCGTTGGGGAAGAAGGGTTGCTTGGTTGGAGACTCGAATCAACTAACAGTAAACCAGTCATTCATGTGTACCGGCGGAACAACGTTTCCCGATGTCGAATGAGTCACCGCATCTTCGATCTCTTTTAGCCGCGGTGTCGTGGCAGAACCTATGCCCGTTTAAGTGTGCAATAACAAATGGTACACTTTTCTAGCATTATGCATGAAGTGTGCCGCACTCATGGCGACGGGCGGCGATGGTTGATACGCCCTACCATCGCACAGCGTGGTTTTGGAGAAGGCTAACTATCATGAGCCCCATGGACAATTTACCCTCCTCCGTAATGATAATTGAAGCCAATAAATCCTCATTTGAAAAGATGGAGAAAACAAACCAAAGAAGCAAGCAAACCGAACTCCTCCTTCCTCTACAAGGCACCGGATTATTCTTTGGATTTGTAGCCGATCCCCAGCGCTCCCGGATGCTTCAGCTTCATCTTTGAACTTGGTGTTCAGGATTCGATATTTTAGCTGTTTTTGTTGTGTTTTGGGGGAATTTTTTTGACGGTGATTTATTGGAAGATATGGGCTCCAATCCGAACGCCGGCGGGGGGTGGATTATAAACTACGGAGGGTTCATGGAGGATGTGCACGCCTCGGATTTCATCTGGGCGCCCCAGGTCGTCGACGATCCTTCGGCTTCAAGGTGATTTTTTCGTGTGTTCCACCCGGTGTTTTCTTGATTTATGTAATAGCTTCTGAAACCGGTCGTTGTTGAGAGTTCACATATTTTGTTCTAATGCGTTGAACTATATTCTTGGATTCGTTCTATACTGAAAACGAAGCACCATTTTAGCTAGTTTCCAGCTCTGGTTGCTTTGCAAGTGGAAACAAAGGCATCGGTCGGTGTTTGGATCAAGCATATATATTGCTAGTATCTCTCGAGCAGAATGGATATCATGTTCTATGATCAACTTGATGTATTAGGTTCTTTGTGTTGGCTTAATTAATAGCATTCCATTGAACAGAAAGAGAAAAGATTTGACAAAAGGGCTACTTTGTATGATCCCCCTTAACCTCTGTAGTTATTCTCCTTAATCCATGCCTCCACAAATTAGTGACTCAGTTGATGTATCAGGATGCTTGAGATTTTATAGTTTACATTTCCATGATTCTTGATAGTGTTTCCTTAATCGAATACATCTATAGTTCATCAGTATGATGTTCCTTACTCTAGCGTGTCATGTGCAGCGCAATGCTTGGGTTTGATGCCTTGCGCAAGGAGGACAACCGTCCAAATAATGGTAACCTGAGAAAACGGTATGAACCAACTTTGTTTTCTAATTGAGTGTTCCGTTTAAGGTGAGAAGATCATAAATTTGTAAGGATAGGTTAAGTCTTTTTTGTGATTGTCTCATGATAAACAACTACTATATAGCAAAAACTCTATATGTTTGTTGTTTCAGCTTGACTTGCATTTCTGTTTTCTTTTAAAAGACTTGCCTTCATAATCATGTCTTTTATAACCACATATAGAAGACACTCAAATCTTGGTAAAGCAGAAGAACTTCACCAGTTTTGCATCTATTTTCTGATTATGCTATTTTCATGATTTTCCCAATGTTGATAGAGTATGTTCCCCACATGACTTGATTTTGAATGAGTTGTAAAATATGTGAGGAAATATGCGTAGTATTAAATATGACATAAATGAATTAGTTTAGCCATTTTATTTTGTGCTACTTTGAAGCAAAAGCTAAGTACCTCGATGATTTAACTCAGTTTATTATGTAGCCTAGATGATTGCATACTTTGCCAATATTTTTCTCATTTTCTTTCGTTTTTTTACACTTTGATGTGAATTCTTCCTGTGTTACTGTTCTGCAGACCTCGTGCCGAGTCCTGTGCTGTACCAGGGACAAAAGCTTGCCGGGAGAAAATACGAAGGGATAGACTTAACTGTCGGTATGTGTAGCTCATATGCATTTGGTGACACACAGGAAAAATAGCCTGTTATGGGTATCTTGTTATGCATATGTTTGTATTGATTAAGGGTGTTGTTACATGCTCAGATTTACAGAGCTTTGTTCTATCTTGGATCCTGGGAAGCCTCCTAAGACAGATAAATTTGCCATTCTGGGTGATGCCACTCGTCTGTTGAACCACTTACGTAATGAAGCAAAGAAGACTAAAGAGTCAAATGAAGCACTTCATGATGCTATAAAGAATATGAAGGTGAGGGATGATCTATTATCATTTCCAGCTCTACAAATAATTTTTCAGTTCTAGCCAGTTAAACTGAGTTTTGATATGCAAATTTAAGATTGCATTTGTTACTGGGATAAAGTTATACTCGTAATGGTCATCTCAAAACAGGGCATCTAAAATTTTCAATAGCACTGTAAATTACGCTAGTTCAGCATTTGGGTCAAGATCAACAAGGACATGTGTCTTGGATCCTCTGTCACCTCCTACAAATTGCAAACTATTCTGCAGGCTTCAATCGGAATGATCAAACAAGTCATGAACAACATATGGACAGTTCTCATTTGTCTTATTCTGTCAATACAGTCAACTTACGAGGAACTCCTTAACAACTAGGATTCAGTGATCAACAAAAAATAAAAATAAAAATCCTATCGAGTCTCAATGCACACACTTGTATCAATGTTGTGTCAGTGACATCATAAAAATGTTCTTACTCTTTGATTGGTTGGCATGACTTGTAGGCAGAGAAAGTGGAGCTAAGGGATGAGAGGACGAGGCTAAAGGCTGAGAAAGCACGGATCGAAGAGATGCTCAAAGTCATTAGCACCACACCCCAGTTCATCACTCAACCTGCTGCTGCAACATTCCATGAGACATCAGCTGCAGCTCACAGCAAAACCATTCCGTATCCAAAC